ATCCATTGTAGCCACTTGGGGAGTGAATCATCGGATGGACAGATCTTTCTCTCTCCTTCTCTCTGTATACCTGTCTTTCCAATAAAAATAAAATATTTTTTTAAACAGCAAGTTACTGAGCTTGGATTTGTAAGGAACTTAAATTGTTTTTCCTATAAAGTTTTGTTAATTTTATTTTATTTATTTTTTTAAAGATCTTCTGTCTGCTCATTCACTTCCCAAACGGCCACAACGGCTGTTGCTGAGCTGATCCAAAGCCAGGAGCCAGTAGTTTCCTTTGGGTTTCCTGTACAGGTGCAGGGTCCCAAGGCGTTGGGCCATCCTCGATTGCTTTCCCAGGCCACAAGCAGGGAGCTGGATGGGAAGTGAAGCTGCCGGGATTAGAACCATATGGGATCCCGGCATGTTCAAGGTAAGGACTTTAGGTGCTATGCTATTACACCGGGCCCAGCTTTGTTAATTTTAATCAGTGATATAGACTGACAGTAGATTAATAGAGGAAAGATGCATATCATTTTAGGGAGACTGATGCCGTGGCTTAGTTGGTTAAGCCTCTAGTTGTGGCGGCGGCATGCCACAGGCTTCATTTCCTATACAGCTCCCTACTAATGTGCCTGGGAAAGCAGCGACAGATGGTTCAATTCTTGTCCCCTGCATTCACATGGGAGACTCAGAAGCTCAGAAGCTAAGCTAAGCCTGGCTTAGCTCCAGCCATTGTAGCCATGTGGAGAGTGAAAAATCTGTGTTTCTTTTTCTGTCAATCTAACTTTCAAATACACATAAATCAAAAAGTTTTTAAAGATCATATAATTGTATTAGTATTAATAAGCAGGGTGGGTGGATGAGGCAGCATTATAGTGGTTTAAACTGCCGGTGAGAACACTCTCATTCAAGTCTTGGCTGCTCTGCTTCCCATCCTGCTCTCTGGGCAGCAGTGCTGATGGCTGAAGCACTTCAGTTCCTGCCCTTGCGCGGGAGACCAGGAGGGAGTGCTGGCCTCCTGGCTTCAGCCTACGCAGGAGCTGTTGTTTCTGGCATCTGGGGAGTGAACTGCAGGTGGAAGTCCTTCTCCAGCTCTCTCCATCCTTCAACCAAACAAATCTTTACTTTATAAAAAAGAAACAGGGAGGGACCCGGAGTAATAATGTAGAAGTTAAAGTCCTTGCCTTGAACGTGCTGGGATCCCATATGGTCGCCGGTTCTAATCCTGTCTGCTGCACTTTCCATCCAAGTCCCTGCTTGTGGCCTGATAAAGCAGGATAGGACGGCCCAAAGCCTTGGGACTCTGCACCCACCTGGAAGACCTGGAAGAGGCTCCTGGCATCAGATTGGCTCAGCTCCAGCCACTGCAGCCAGTGGGGGAGTGAATCATCGGAGACAAAGATCTTCCTCTTTGTCTCTCCTCCTTTCTGTATATCTGCCTTTCCAATAAAATAATAAATAAATCTTTAAAAAAGAAAGAAACAAGGAGCCTAACCACAAAGTAGGAGACTCCTAGGGAGCTGAGAGTTGAAGAAAGAAAAAACAAACCTGAGGCCCCTGGAAGAGGGTGCGGGAACAGTTACAGATAGGCGAGGGGTGGGAAATGCACCAAACGCTGCTGTTTCTGTAGATAAAACAGTCTCCCAGGTAACATCATTACAAGGATATTGGTCGGGCTGGCATAGTAGCCTATCAGCTGAAGTCTTTGCTGGATCCCATTTGGCGCCAGTTCTAATCCTGGCAGCTCCACTTCCCATCCAGCTCCCTGTTTGTGGCCTGGGAAAGCAGTTACAGATGACTCAAAGGATGGCTCCAATAAAAAAAAAAATCTTTAAAAAGAAAACAAGAATAAAATTTTAAGAAGGCTATGAGTGGTGATCTCTTCCTGGGTTAGATGTCACACCCTCTAATCCCTTATTGCTGTTACAAGGTCTTTACTAGACAGGGAAGGGACGACCTTAGAGAAATCGGGGCTTGCACTGCTCTTTGCTAAAAGATGCCTATCTTTCCAGTGACAGGCTACTTTTTCAGAGCTGGCCATGTGTTTGTAACTTCTAGAAACAGCTTTCTCAAATAGGCAAAAAGATATGCCTTGGGGCACGGGGGTGAGGGTGGCCTGTTGCCAATCATGTTGCTGGAGGGAATGCGGCCACTGGCACAGATGAAGCAATGGGAGGGAGGATAGTACAGAATTTCCAGAAGCCTTTGTAATTGTGACTCTGGGATCCCATCTCTCCCGAACAGCTGCACACTTCTTTTTAGAACATAGGAGATCATGTATGGTTTCCCACCTGTCAGGGGACAGGACCAGGTACCTTGAGTTAGAGAAAGGTGCCATTCATTTTTTTTATATCACAGCAAGAACACACTTTGATTCCCATTTATCTATCTGTCTCTTGCCACTGATATTACAGGATTTAAAAAATGTCAACAAAAAGGTAAAATTATGGAAGAACAAAAGAAAAAAGGGAAAAAATGATGGGGGAACAAAGAGTACATGTTCTGGAGTCAGATGCCTGGGGTTCAAATCCTACTTGGACGTTCTTAATGACTGGACATCTCTCTGTTCCTTCCTTTCATCATTTGTAAATGAGAAAGGTGAATTTAAACGTATAGGGAACTGCAATGCTGCCTGACACAGAGCAAGCTACATGCAAGCTCTTGTATTAATACATACATGGCAAGAGCTGTAGCTTATTTCCTGACCACGGTGTAAGCTACTGGTGTTCCTCTAGAGGAATAGATACTAAAATGTAAGCTGTTATGGAAAGGTGAGTTTTCCTATTGAAATGGTTTCAAGCCAATGTTTAAAAAAATAAGCACATTTGGACCCGGCACAATAACTCAATGGCTAAATTTTCACCTTGCAAGCATCAAGATTCATATGGGCATTGGCTTGTGCCTTGGTTCCTCAACTTCCCATTCAGTTCCTTGCATATGTCCAGAAAAAGCAGTAGAGAATGGCCCAAAGCCTTGGGACCCTGCACCTGTGTGAGAGGCCTGGAAGAAGCTCCTGGCTCCTGGCTTAGGATTGGCTCAGCGCTGGCCTTTGTAACTACTTGGGGAGTGAACCAGCAGATAGAAGTTGAAAATCTTCAAACAAAACAGAAAATCTTCAAAGAGTATAAAGTGTAACATTTTTTTTCCAACCCATCTCTCAGTCATGCAGTCCCACACTCAAGACAATCAATATCATGGGATTTTATGTTTGCTTCCTGAGCTAGGCAGCTAGGCTATTTATTTACAACTCTGCTTATACCTGTATTATTTCCTCAGCTCCCACTTTGTTTTTTTTTTTTTTTTACAAAAGATTTATTTATCTATTTGAAAGGACAGAGTGAAAGATGGAGATATTTCCCATCTGCTCTTTCTCCACCTGCTTGCAGCAGCCAGGGCTGAGTTGGGCAGAGCCAGGAGGCAGGAACTCCATCCAGCTGTTCTGCACAGGTGGCAGGGACCCAAGGATCTTAGCCATCCCCTGCTGCCTCCAAGTGTGCACATCAACAAGAAGCAGAAATCAGCACTCAAATCCAGGTATATCTGAATGTGATGCAGATGTCTCAAACACACTAACCACTGTCCTTGGGGGCCAGTGCCATGGCATAGTAGGTTAAACCTCAGCCTGAAGTATCAGTATCCCATATAGGTACCAGTTCAAATCCTAGCTGCTGTACTTCCCATCCAGCTCCCTGTTTATGGCCTGGGAGGGCAGCAGAGGATGGCCCAACTTTTTGGGCCCCTGCACTCACATGGGAGACCTGGAAGTAGCTCCAAGCCGCTGGCACTGGACCAGCCCAGCTCCAGCTGATAAGACCATCAGGGAGTGAACCAGCAGTGGATTTCTTAGTCTCATCTCTCCCTGTAAAGCTACCTTTCAACTAAAAAAAAAGCCTACCCTTTTGCTTTGTGAAAGTGGGCATTAAGAATATGTATTTAGGGTTGCAATTTAGTTCATGGGTTATGATACTGGCTGGATGCCAGCATCCTCTAATTAGGCTCCTGGGTGCATGTCCCTGCTAGGCATCTGACTGTAGCTTTCTCTCCTGTGCACACTGCAGGACCGCGGGTGCTGGATGAAAGGGTCGGTTACTTGTCATCACGTGAGGGGCTGGGATTCAATTCCAGAGTCCTGACCTGAGGCAGCTGCGGAGTAGAACCCTAAGATGAAAGCTCTGTCTCTCAAGAAAGAAAAATCTGATCGGTCTTTGGATCCGCGTAAGGCAATTCTAACAGGCTCCTAAGGAATAAAGTAACAGTACTATTGAGATGTACAAACGGAGACCCGAGAAGTAGAAATGGATTCCCAGCCAGAGCACTTCTCACAGGATGACAGCTGAGAGGACACAAGTCACACATTGTAAAGTAGCACATTCTGTTGCTAGAGCGGATGGTGACATGAGTCTGCCTCATCATGTGGTTTACACAAGTGGGTCTTTTTTTTTTTTTTTGGCAACGTCTGACTAGCAATTCCACAAGCCTGGGTATAAGCATTCCCCTGATTATTGCTATCTTCCTAGCATCTGACGGCGTCTGCTCCGAACCTATGCAAGGGTTGGGACTCCATCCCTCCTCTGCAAGTCAATTCGCAGCTGAGTTTCTAGTCTCCCGCGGTTACTGCGCCCCAGTTGCCGCACCCACCGAAACTCCAAAGGAGAAAGAGGGCCGAGCGCGGAAGCGCGCGTGCGCTTCGCTGCGCGCAGTCGCAGCCTCTCTCTCCTTCCTGGTTGCTTCGCACGCCCACCCCACCCCCGGCGTCGGCTGTCCCGCCCCCTTAGGCGCCAAGGAGGGCTGCGATTGCTCAGCCTGGCGACCCATCAAGACCAGATCCTTTTCCTCTCAATGCAATTGGCAGCCGGAGAAAAGGGCAGTCCGCCGTCGTCGGCTGACTCCTTGGAGACTCTGCGCCACCGCGGAAGCCGCTATTGGCGGAGGCCAGCGACCGCGACTGCTCACTTCCGGCGCGGGGCTCGACGCGCTCTCCACCCCCTCCGGGAGGCCGCCCTCAGCCTTCCCACCCCCGCCCTTCCACCATGGCCGCCTCTGTGTGGTGTGGGGAGCAGCTGTTCCTCCCTGTTCTCCTGTAGCGCTTACTGCCTCACCCTCACCCCGTACGGGCCGGAGCCACAGGAGCCTTGCTCCCCAGACCTTGGAGCACTAGGCAGGAGGGGCTCCTGGCCTGGACTTGAGGGGCAGCAGCCTTAGGGTTTTCCCCTCCTTCGCTTAGGGTCAGAAACCAGGAAGAGGGCTCCCTCCTACTTCTCCAGAGGTGGAGACCCTTCCCACCAAGCCTCAGAGACAACACTGCGCCTCCCTAGGCAGGTCCTAGAGAACCGTCGCCTTTCGCCTCCCCCGCTGAAGGCGCGGCCTGACGGAGAGGAACGAGCAGTGGGGAGCACAGGGGCTCTTGCCCTTCCAGCCCTCTGCTTGTTCCTCTTGCCCTCCACCCCACCCCGCGCCCTCTTGCTGGCCACCCAGAGTTGCCCATTCCAAGGACTTTCCACCCATCCACTCCCAGACCTCTTCCCCGTCTCCTGGCTGCAGCCATGGAGTTGCAGAAGGGAAAGGGGGCAGCAGCAGCAGCTGCTTCGGGAGCAGCGGGAGGTGGAGGAGGAGGAGCGGGAGCAGGAGCCCCAGGAGGGGGGAGGCTGCTACTTTCAACCAGTTTGGATGCCAAGGATGAGTTAGAGGAGGTAGGTGTGGGGGTGGGGAAGGGAGTTAAGAAATGGGGTTGAGGAGGGCTGTTGGAACGGATACGGGGTGGGGGTGGGTGGGCAGTGGCCTTCCAGTTGTGTGTGTGTATGTGTGTTTTTTCCTAAGGCAACACAAACACTGCTGTAGCTTCCTGCTCCTGAAGGAAGTCGTGTGGGCCAACTTCCTGGACAGGTTGTCATAGTAACAGCAGGGACTACTGTGAAAATGGGTTGGGGGGCCTTGGTGAAGGAAGGGATAAAGCATCCAGATTGGGTGTATTTATTTATTTTTTACATGCCTTTCTGCATTCCATAGGTCTTTTTCATGTCAGACTCATGTCATACAGAGTTGAGAGCGTGTGTGCGCAAGCGGGGTGGCGGATGGGCTCCTAGGAACCTCTGGCAGATCCTGGACCCTCCAGTTGGATGACAGTGTTAGTCCCTGTAGACACAGTGATGGCCAGTGATGTAGAGATTTCAGAGTGGGTAGTGCCTACCGCCTCCGGGTGGGGAAGGGGAGGAGGATGAAGTTGGAGTACTCTCCTTCAACACCAGAGAAAGAGGGTGAAGTGAGGCAGTACCATGGACCTAAGGGGACTTCCTGGGCCCTGGAAATTGCCCTCCTGTCCCCTCCACCACTTGGCCCCCTGAGGAGGACACATGCTGGGGAGTAAGAGAGACTCCAAGGTGGGATATGGCTGGTGAACTGCTTCCGAGGCCTGATAGGTTCAGTTGTGTGGGTATCCAGGAATAGGGTGAGAAAATGAAGGGGTCCCGGCTTCTGACTGCTCACTGCTTGTCACTGTGCTGCATCAGTATTAATTAGAGGTGAGCAGGCAGGCAGGTAGGTAGATACATCATAGTTTAGATTTGGAAAAAAGAAAAAAAAAGTTGGGTCAGTTGTAAGACTGAAATGGAGACACAAAATGAACTCTGCCAATCAAGAGGTGGCTGGACAGCAACTTCCTGGTTAATTGGCCAGCAGGTGCCTCCTTGTAGTTCGAGTTCCCATCATGCTTTCGCCCCATAATTCTATGTGCATTTAGATAAGTCAAAGTTTGTTTTCTGTTGTTTTGTTTTTGACCAGCCAAGGTAGATATAATTTGGAATTTAAACAATATGGAACCCTGAGCTCTGACCTCACCTCCAAGTTCTGGAATTGTTAGAATGTCATTCATTGACTGCCTTTAAATCCCTCTACCAGTTTCTGTGAAAGGGGAAAAAACAGGGTGGAAAGCAAATCTGTTTCTATTCTGATTTCTTCAGAGGTCATGAGTGCCTGGGATTTAATTTGTATCACAGGGAGTACAGAGTACAGCATCCTGTTGGTTCTGAGCAGTGACCCATTGGCTGATAAGCCAAGTGAAATGGCCCGAGAGGACCCCAGCAGAGGAAACATTTATTTTCTTGCTTTTTTTCAGACTTGTCTGATAGTAAACTTACAGTTGTTTCCAGGGAGAACGGGGATGGGAGGGAGTCTCCTGATCTCCTTTCCCAGTAGATTTCAAGCTCCCTTCCCATTCCTCCTTCGCCTTTTGGCCTTCAGCTTTGACTTTTCCAGCAAACCTTGCTACACTGTTTCGCGTGTCTGTGGTGTGGCCTTGTGGTGCCCACCAGGCAAGACTTCGTGCCTTCTTCCTGTGGATCTCCTCTCAGATCTCTGCACACAGAAGTTAGCAAACCCTGATGTTGACCTCTGCTTGTTCTGGGCCCACGATTTTTTTTTCCTTGTCTAAAAACACATGAACTGTCTGACCATACATTTACTTTATGTTGAATAAAAAGAAAATGGGTTGGTTTGGAGATACTCAAGGTCTACCTTCCAGAACATATCTAAAGATGTAGCACACCCACAGGGAAGGTTAGAACCTGCACCCATATGGGATCCTGGCGAGTTAAGGCGAGGGCTTTAGCCACTAGGGAAGGTTATAAACAACACTAGTTAGGGTGCTGGAGAGACCAGGCTCCTTGTGTTACAGCAGGGGGAAACCAGGGCCCCTCAGGCCTAGAGTGTAAACTGGTCCAGAACAACCAGGCCTGAGGCTGTGACTGCTCAGCCCCAGGGACTGTGGTTGTATCCTTTCTTCTCTTTGGCCCAGTTTACCCCTTTGAAGTTTTCTCACCCATCTCAACCCAGTTTGGGGAGGGAATAGGATAAAAATAGTGCCAGAGATTGGAGGAATTTAGAACATGTAGTTCCTAGTCCCTCGAGCCTTCACAGCTCCTGTTTATTGCTTTGCCAAGGAGGTATCCGTCACTTTGAAGTCACACAGAACGTAGGAGCTGTGGCCCACAGAAGTCCAACTTTCTCCTTATGTATGGCTGGGTCTCAGGATTGCATTTGATTAGAGATGTGTCCCGGCCAGGTTTTCTATAAAAAAAAAATAATAATAATAATTTATATCCTATGTAAGTAGTCTCCAAGGAGTGAGCTGGGCTTTGGCTCATTTCTGACTATTTTTTCTCTTAAATCATTATTTCGCATAAAGTGACTTGTTATGGAATACTTGGAAGCTAGGTGGTTTAAGAAATTCTACTGATGTGGAGCCTTGAGTTTTTGTAGATCATGCCTTCCTTTTCTGAAGATGGCCTTTAGCCGTTATGTTTAACCCTGCCTTCTTTATCAAAGAAACATTTTCTTTGTACTTAACGAATTAATGAATTAGTTACTTTCTGCTTACTTGAAAGGCAGACACTGGTTTACTCCCTCAGTACCCACAGCGGGCAGGGGGCTAGGGCAAGCCAAAGCCCGGAGTCTCGGTTGCCCACAGAGATGTCAGGGTCCCAGATATTTGAGGCAACACACCTGCTCTCTCTATGGTGCACATCAGTAGGAAGCTGGAATGGAGAGCAAAGCTGACCCAGATACTGGACTATGGTAGCTGAACCCAAGAGCCAGCTGCTGGGCCCTTGCACACTTTTTAACCAGACTCCATATTCACCAGTTGAGGAAGAAGAAATAAAGAAAGGAGGAGGGTGTCTCTAATTTCACTGCCTAACTTTAGACATCTACTTGTACTGGTGAACTGGGGAGGTCCTATCTCGCCAGGGAAACCATGGTCAGGTAGTCTTAGTGAAATTAGTTGAGGAGCTCCTAGAGACGGTAAATATTTACCAGGCTCTCTGAGGTGCTGTCATGGAGGGCTTATTCTCAGCAGAAGCCTTCTGCCAGCAGTTACTGGCAACTGCATGGATGATCCCATCTTTACTAAGGGCCTCCAGAGACTAGGGCAAGAGAAGGACTGATACTTGATCAGCTGCCTGCAGTGCTCCTCAAGGGGTCATGGTCCTGAATGGTTTGTGATTTGTCTTTCCAATCCTGCTTGGAAAATGATTTTTGTTTTCTTCCTCCTCTCTTCTCCCTTCCTTTCCTTTCCTTTCCCCTCCCCCTTTTCCTTCCTTCCTTCTCCTTTTTTTAAAGGAGTTTTAGATTTCAGGATGAGTAGCATCTTCTGTATTTCCCTAGCCTGGAAAGGACTGGCTCTCACATTTGTTCCCTCTTGGTGTCCTCAATGCATTTAGCCACTCATGCGTGTTTTAGACTCACACTCCACATCCTTCTCTGGGCCTCCCCGTTTTAAGAGGCCACTTTTCTCCTTGACTGGGCAGTGACCCATAGCATTGAGTCAGGCCCCTGAGTGGCACTTAGAACATTGGGGAGGGGCCCAGAAAAAAAAAAAAACAACAACTTGTGCATCCCAAGGTCTCTGAGTGTGAAGTCACAGCCAGAGGTTCAGCCAGCCGCTATGGGACTTTGCAGGATCTTGGCTCAGGATCTGGCAGGAAGGCCTCTGGCTCCCTCTTCTTCCTTTCCTTCTGGAAGGCAAATGTTGCAGAGGTTAAGTTGGAGAGGAAGCTTAGCGTAGCCAGGCACCAGCCCTGGTCCTGTAGGAGGGGGTTCCTAGGATCTGAAGTGCAAGCTGTTGGAAATACCGGCAGAGGTGGTCTCTGTGTCAGTTTCCGTTGCGCAGTTGCCCAGCTTCCCCACGAATCGAATGGGTTTTAATCCAGCCGAGACTGCACTCAGACAGATGCATTCAGATATTATCTTGTTTAATCCTCCCAGCAACCTTGGGATACGGCCATTACGTCTTGTTTTTGATAAGAAAACCAGAGTTTGGAGAGACTTAAGTAACTCTTTGCCAAAATTAGCCTGAGACATGCTAGCAGCAGAGGGTTCCTTCTCTACTGGGCCCCCTGTCCATTTGGGGTCCCTAGCTACTGGTCGGGCTCTTTTGCCTCTGCTCTCCCTGGATTCAGCGGAAATGGCTGAAGTATCTGGAGTTGCAGGGTACTGGGCTGCTGCTGTGTGCCCCTTCTCCTTTGATTCCGACTGCTGCTTAACCTAGGCTGGCTACTGGGCTGCCAGATCTTCTAGCAAGAGCAGTCTGTGCCTAGCAGCCGCAGTGATCAGTCTCCCGGTTCTTGGTGAGTGTCCTGCCACGGGCAGCGAGAAGGCCCAGCAGAGGTTTGTCCTCTCCCCCTGTAGGAGCTGGCCTGGAAGGCGAGGGGTCACAGAGCCTGTGGGCGAGGCGGGCTGTGAGAATCCCAGCTCAGCTTTCATGTGATCTCACAGCTCCTTTTCACACCGACGCAGGTGCTGTTTGGGAAGGCTGAGCCTGCTGATGTGACCTGATTTGGGGGATAGACCTGATCTTGAGCGATGGAGTCGTAATACCTGTAAACCCAAGCAGCTTTGGTCTTATTTTAGAGTGAACTTTCCTTTCGTTGGGAGCTTCTTACCTTAGTAGTCACTTCTACCCCATGCCACATTAATGTAGCCGGAATCCTGGCATCATACACAAAAACAGTTAAAAAAATAATTCCTTAATATAATCAGTGTCAAGTCACTGTTCAGATTTCTCTCTCTCTTTTTTTTTTCTTTAGTTTTGACAATCTTTACATAGTTAATTAGGGCACAAAGGTCCAAGGGCTACAGGAAAGTGGGGAAGACTATTATTTCCACATTCTCTCTCTCTTTTTTTTTTTAATCTGGGGTAAACGGGGAGAGAAAGGGAGAAACCCCACCCAGCCTCCCACCCATCCCAGGTCCCTGATGTGGGGCATGCTCCAAGGGTCTTACTCAAGTGGTTTTGATAGTTCACCAGTTCTGAATTGCTGCCAGTCTCGCCATTCCAAGCACAATGAAGTCATTGCAGAATCCACTTATTGACATAGTCCATCTTAGAGTCTCTGCCCAGTTTTTCATTGCCAACATATGGCTGGGGTAGTTGATTGATTTGTTCTGTTCTCCATCCTCTGTTGTGGTGCCAGGTATCCTCTGCAGGTTCTGATAGACTGCCATATCCTCCATGCGCACCTGATTATGCTGTCCACTGCTCCGTCTGAGCCTCTGGGAGTCTTGACTCTGGCATTTGCGTTCCCTAGCAGATTTCTTTTTGAAATTTGATTTGTCTTAAGTGATTTTTCTAGTTGACTTGTTCAAATCAGTAACCAGACAACCCCCCCACCTTGTATTTTGTTGGTGTATTTATTTAGTAAATTTTTAAAGATTTTTTTTCCCAGAATGATTTATTTTTATTGGAAAGGCATATTTACAGAGAGAATGATCTTCCACTCCCCAAGTGGTCTCAATAACCAGAGCCGGGCTGATCCGAAGACAGGAGCCAGGAGCTTCTTTTGGGTCTCCCATGTGGGTTCAGGGTCCCAAGGCTTTGGACTGTCTTCTACTGCTTTCCCAGGCTCAAGCAGGGAGCTAGATAGGAATTGGAGCAGCTGGGACACGAACCGGTGCCAATATGGGATGCAGACCACAGGGTGGAAGATTAGCCTGATGCACCACTGCACTGGCCCCTTATTTAGTAACTTCTAATTTCAAACTTCCATAACATTTTAATCCACAGAACTCTGATCTGTTCATCTCTTAGTTTCGTCAGCTGTTAATACTTGCTAATGTGCTTTGTCTCTATAAACCTGTTGTCACTTCACCTTTTGAAAATAGTTGCAGCCACAATGCCCCTTTAGATTTAAATACTTCAGTACATATTTTCTTTTTTAAGGACTTTTTAAAATTGGAAAGTCTGATATATAGAGGAGGAGAGACAGAGAGAAAGATCTTCCGTCCATGATTCACTCTGCAAGTGACTCCAACAGCTGTTGCTGCACTGATCTGAAGCCAGTGGCCTGACGCTCTTCCGGATCTCCCATGAAGGTGCAGGGTCTCAAGGCTTTGGGCCATTCTCCACTGCTTTCCCAGGCCACAAGCAGGGAGCTGGATGGGAAGCGGGGCTGGCAGGACACGAACTGGCAGCCATATGGGATCCCAGTGTGTTCAAGGCCAGGGCTTTTGACTGCTAGGCTACCATACCAGGCCTTCAATGTGTATTTTCTAAGAACAAAGATCTGTGTTATTTAACCTCTGTTCTGTTATCAAAACTGGTTCACTTAAAAATGATATGTTAATTTGCACTGCATATCTGACTGTACCAGTTGTCTCAATCGTGTCTGGAGGAGTCCAGACACACCAATTCTTGCATTTAGGCATGCGGTTTCTTTGTTACTCTTAATCTTTGTCTTTCTTGACCTTAAACATTGTTGACAGGCTTAGTTATCTTGTAGAATGTAAGAGAACTTGAAACAGTTGGTAAAACATGAATTTGGGGCAGCTATTTGGCCTAGCAGGGACAGGGCTGATTAAAACACCCACTGGTACTGGTTTACTAATTCTGCTGCTAGTTGATGCCCATGTTGCAGTTGAAGTTCCTAGCTTGGAGGACAACTCCAGCTCCTGCGTGCAGTTGTGTGTTGGTGTTGGTGCACACCCTGGGAGCCAGTAAAGGATCCCTGCCATTCAAGTGGGAGACCTGGATTGCTCTCAGGTTATCCAGGCCCTGCTGTGGTCCTATAAGCATTCGGGAAGTAAACCAGTAGATGGGTCCTCATTCTGTCTTTTAAGTAATAAAAACAAAACAAAACAAAAATTCTTAAAAAGAACATTTTGATGTGAAAAGATTTCGAGATTGAATGCATGTGGGCTCTTAAAAGTTCATGGAAAAGCATATTACAACAAATTTGTACGTGAGTTTTGAAATCATTTGTACCAGAATAAGCTTATGTTAGGCTAATGGCTAAAATTCTCACCTTCCATGTGCTCGGATCCCATGTGGGCTCAGGTTTGCATTCCGGCTTCTCCACTTCCCTTCCAGCTCCCTGCTTGTGGCCTGGGAAGGCAGTAGAGGATGACCCAAAGCCTTGGGACCCTGCACCCATGTGGGAGACCTGGAAGAGTTTCTAGCTCCTGGCTTCAGATCAGTTCAGCTCTGGCTGTTGTGGCCAATTGGGGAGTGAACCAATGGATGGAAGATCTTTCTGTTTCTTCTTCTCTCTATAGATCTACCTTTCAATTAAATACGTCTTTGGGAAAAAAATTTTTTTTCAAGTTTTATTTTCTTGGGAAGTGATTTGTTTTAATTTCAGTTGGAAGGCAGAGAGATTCCATATTCTGACTTTCCTCCCCAATGCCTGCAAAAGCTGGGACTGGGCTAGGCCAAAGGCAGGAAGGAGCCAGAAACTTACTGCATGTCTCCCATGTGTTGATAGGGACCCAGGTACTTGAGCCATCACCTGCCTGCCTTCCAGGGTATACATCAATAGAAAGCCCAGTAGAAAGTGAGCCAGAACACAAAACAGGCACTGCAGTGTGGAATATAGAGGTCCCAATCGTCAGATGCATGCCCTATTTTGTTTTTAATGGGACTCATTTATTTGTTTGAAAGGCAGAGTGACAGAGAAAGACACACAGAGAGAGCTTCCATCCACAGGTTCAGTCCTCAGATACTGCAGCAGGCAGGGTTGGGCCAGGACAAAGCCAGGAACTTTGTGTAGGTCTTATGTTAGCAAGACATTGGAATCAGACCTGAGAGAGGAAAGAAACTGGGGCATTTAGAATGGGGTGCGGGCATGCCGACTAGTGTCCTAACCTGTGGGTCAGATGCCTGCTTCCCTTCTTGCCTTTTTTTCCTTGCAGTTTTTTTTTTTTTAAAGATTTATTTTATTTTCATTACAAAATCAGATATACAGAGAGGAGAAGAGACAGAGAGGACGTGGAGCTGCTGGGATTAGAACCAGCGCCCATATGGGATCCTGGCGCGTTCAAGGCGAGGACCTTAGCCACTAGGCCATGCCGCCTGGCCCCCTTGCAGTTTTTTGGAAAGACTGTATCTCCTAGCATATTTTTCACATTGTAGATTTTTCTGATCAAATCCCAATGGGAGCTTTGAGGGATGATCAGGTTGGAATTAAAACACACACACAGCTTTTTGGAGCCAGAAGAACTTCCTGGGTAATGTTTGGATGCATTTTTAACTTGTTCTCCCCATTCCTAGAGATTGGAAAGGTGTATGAGCATTGTGACGTCAATGACAACGGGTGTCTCTGAGAGAGAAGCCAATGATGCCCTCAATGCCTATGTGAGTAGCTCCCGCTCCCCTGCCCCTGGGACAGGGCTAGCACCCACCCCCTGGGACAGGGCTAGCACCCACCCCCTGGGACAGGGCTAGCACCCACCCCCTGGGACAGGGCTAGCTCCCACCCCCTGGGACAGGACTAGCACCCACCCCCTGGGACAGGACTAGCTCCCACCCCCTGGGACAGGGCTAGCACCCACCCCCTGGGACAGGGCTAGCACCCACCCCCTGGGACAGGACTAGCACCCACCCCCTGGGACAGGACTAGCTCCCACCCCCTGGGACAGGGCTAGCACCCACCCCCTGGGACAGGGCTAGCACCCACCCCCTGGGACAGGGCTAGCACCCACCCCCTGGGACAGGACTAGCACCCACCCCCTAGGACAGGACTAGCTCCCGCTCCCCTGCCCCTGGGACAGGGCTAGCACCCACCCCTCTGGCTCTGGGAAATGGGAATGCGTGGAGACACAACCAGAAGGATGGGAAGACTGAGAGCTGGGAGCTTCGTGTCTCGGCTCCTGGAGCCACTTTCCTTACTGCAGGAATCTGTCTCAGCAGTTTGAGTATCTTTAATAACAAGTAGTTTACAAACTCAGCTGTGCAGTGATTTTTTTTTCTTTGTAAATCATTCTCACTTTTTGGTTGCTTTTTACATTTCTTGATCCGTTTGTGTGATTAAAACTATTTTTAAACTGTATAGGTAAAGAAGTTAGGGTGACTGTGAAGTGTTAACTTACTTATTGGAATATGCCGTTCACCATGAATCCCAGAGGCCATGGTCTGCCCATGGTCCTGGTGAGGTCCTGACTTGGTCCGCCTACCTGCTACTCTGCTGATGCTCTGCAGCTCCCTCTGTGGAATCCTGCAAAGGCTTCATAATGATGGTGGAATAGGATTTATTTGGTTTTTATTTTTTCCATTGTTAAAACTCTTACATCCTGCTCCTGGCTTCCGTCAAGCAGTTAGGAAAAGCAGTGAGGATTTATCGCACCCTTACCCGAGGCAGGCGCCTCCACCCTTCGATGAGAAGGAATCACCAGACGGAACAGTGGGTGATTGATCCCTAGCTGCACGTCACTCAGGACTCCCCAGTGTTCCTCAAGAACTTTCTACTTGGGACAGTTTGTTTACCCTCCCGCTTCACATTCTAGGTCTGCAAAGGCCCGCCCCAGCATGAGGAGATCTGCCTGGGCCTCTTCACGCTTGTCCTTACCGAGCCCACACAAGCCCAGAAGGTAAGAGACTCTGCTCTGGACCCTTCGCAGGTGTGATCTGGGAAAAAGGTGATCCTTGGATTTTAACCTGCTGGTATCAGACTCCTTGGCCCAAGCTGGATCACCTTGTTCTACAAGTGTAGTTTTTCTTTTTTTTTTTTTTTTCCTTTTAGTTTTCATTTTATATGAAAGAGAGCTTCCACCTGCTGGCTCACTCTTGAGTGCCTACAATATTCAGGGCTGGGATAGGCCAAACCAGGAATTTGAAACTGCAGCTGGGTCTCTCACATGGGTGGCAAAGTTCCAAGTACTTTTGTTATTACTATTATTGTTGTTTTTCAAAGATTCATTTAGCAAGAAGTCTTTCATTTTCTGGTTCACTCCCCAAAAGGCTGCAACGACTAGGCCAGGCCCAAACCAGAACCTGAGACATCACTCTACATCCCCCACAAGATGGCACTTGGGCCATCTGTTGCTTTCTCAGGCCCGTTAGCAGGGAGCTGAATGGGAAGTGGGGCAGTTGGAACTCAGCTGGCAGTCTTATGGGAGGCTGGTGTTGCAGGCAGTGGTTTAATTTGCTGTGCCACAATGCTGACTGTAGGACCCAAGTCCCTGGGGCGTCATCTGCGGCCTCTCAGGATATGCCTTAGCAGGAAGCCAGATCGCAGAGACAGAGGCAGGATTCACTCGCAGGAATTCTGATACGGGTGCAGGTGCTCCAAACGGTGACTTAACTGCTGCACTAAGTGCCCCACACTGTTGGTGTCATTTTAGTATTCAACTTTTCATCAGATTGGTCAGGCTCTGACCAAAGTTCTTCCTTATCCCAAGGTGCTGACACTAAAAGGCAAGGAAGGACAGTTGTGAGAGTGGAAAAGCACTTCAATTTTAAGTTGCCCATATGGGGCAAGGTTAAAAGGGATGTTTGTTTGTTTTATTGGAAGGGTAGATTTATATAGAGGAGGAGAGAAAAAGATCTTCCAACTGCTGGTTCACTCCCCAAATGGCTAGTATTCAGGAACTTTCTATGGATCTTCCATGTGGGTACAGGGTCCCAAGTTCTTGGGCTATACTCCACTACTTTTCCAGGCTTTAGCAGAGATGGATGGGAAATGGAGCAGCTAGGACACAAACTGGCACCCATATGGGATCCCATCTCTTGCAAGGGGAGATTAGCCAATTGAGCCATTTTTCTGGGCTCAAGGGCTGGGATTAAATACAAGAGAAGAGAGCTTATGGAGCTCAATACTTAAGAGTTCTTACCCAGGGCCCTGTGCAATAGTGTAGCAACTAAAGTCTTCACCTTGAATGCACTAGGATCCCATATGGGCACCGGTTCTGATCCCGGCAGCTCAGCTTCCCATCCAACTCCTTACCTGTGGCCTGAAAAAGCAGTTGAGGCTGGCCCAAAGCTTTGGGGCCCTGCACCAGTGTGTGGGAAACCTGGAGGAAGCTCCCGGCTCCTGGCTTTGGATTGACACAGCTCCAGCCATTGTGGCCGCTTGAGGAGTAAAACCATTGGACGGAGGATCTTCCTCTTTGCCTCTCCTCCTCTCTGTATATCTGCCTTTCCAATAAAAATAAATAAATCTTTAAAAAAAAAAAAAAAGAGTTCTTACCCAGAAGAGCATGACATGTAGTTTGTAGGTTCTGTAATTGGCTGGAGAGGAGAAAGCCATTTTAACATGTCAGGGAGTAGGATTTAGACTAGACCACTTCTGAGTGATGCAGTGATTACTGTGTGTGCTGGAGTTGAATTTCCTGAGGAAAAGCTTACAAAGCTCTATGTGGAATGAATGGTTCACATGGGTTGTTGTCTTGAGGTGAGGTGAGGCTCCAGGCAGGATGATCTCTTTGGATTCTGTTCATTTTACGATAAAGGAGCAGAAGTCTTGTTTTTGCCCCTGCAGATTTCCCTGGTCTTCTGTGTTCTTTGAGTCTTAGCTTGATGGTTAAAGGATGTGTTTGTTGAACCGTGTGACTAACAAGGAGAGCTGAGAGTGAAGGGAACAAGGGGGAGCAAGGGTGATGTGGAAGGAAACACACTCTGCCCAGCATCCTGCTGTGGAGAGATCTCAGCTGACCCTCCCAAAACACCGTGAGCCTTCCCCCAAACCAAACCCTGTTTACCTGTGAGTAACTTGAAGATGGTAGATGTTGCCCTTTGTTCAAAGATAAGGATGGATGCTTAGTTTCACTTTTGTATAGCTGTTGGAGTTAACCTCATGCCTGGGAACCTGATGTGTTGTACTTTTCTCGTGCCTGTTGGAATAGGGGGTGGGGGAAGAGTAGATGGTGAGGCAGCAGGTTTCCCAAGAAAGCTAGGCCATCCCAGGCTGTGACCTTCTTGAGCTAAATTGCCATTTCGTTTTCATACTGTGTTGATTGCGAAGATCCTTAAAGGTAAATAAATATCTCCCATTTGATACTTGAAAGGGAGAGTTACAGAAAAGGAAGGAAAGACAAAGAGAAAAATCTTCCATCTGCTGTTTCATTCCCTGATTAGCTGCAACAATCAGGGCTGGGCCAGGCTGAAGCCAGGAATCTGGAACTCCATTGGGTCTCCCACATGTGTGGCAGTGTCCCAGCATGGTCCATCTTCTGCACTCTCAGGTGCATTAGCAGGAAGCCAAGTCGGTGGAGTGATGGAACTCCACTGATGCTTACATGGAATGCTAGTATCAGGGCGGTGGGATACCTGCCCACAATGCCTGTCACAGTATTGATTTTAAGAAAATTACTGTCAAAGATAGGGAAGATGGCTTGAGATTAATTTTCTTTTCTTTTTTTTTTTTTTAAAGATTTATTTTTATTATGTTTTTTTATTGGAAAGGCAGATATACAGAGAGGAGAGACAGAGAGGAAGATCTTCCGTCCGATGATTCACTCCCCAAGTGAGCACAACGGCCAGTCCTATGCCAGTCCGAAGCCAGGAGCCTCTTCCGGGTCTCCCACGTGGGTGGGTGCAGGGTCCCAAAGCTTTGGGCCGTCCTCAACTGCTTTCCCAGGCCACAGGCAGGGAGCTGGAAGGGAAGTAGGGCTGCCGGGATAGAACTGGCACCCATATGGGATCCCGGGCGTGCAAGGCGAGGACCTCAACCACTTGCACCGCCATGCCGGGCCCGAGATTAATTTTCTTTTGTGTGGGTTTTTGCAAGTAGAACAAAGTGTCAGTTAGTCATCTCAATGAAAATTAATGTCTTGGGGCTTGGTGTGGTAGCCCAGTGGCTGAAGTACTCGCCTTGCATGTGCTGGGATCCCATATGGGTTCCAGTTCCTGTCCCAGCTTCTCCACTTCTCTTCCAGCTCTTTGCTTGTGGCCTGGGAAAGCAGTTGGTCCCAAAGCCTTGGGACCCTGCATCCGTGCAGGAGACCTGGAGGAAGTTCCTGGCTTCCTGGCTCCTGGTTTCAGATTGGCTCAGTTCCAGCCATTTCAGCCACTTGGGGAATGAACCAGAGGATGAAAAATCTTTGTTTCTCCTTTCTGTAAAAAATAATAATAAATTTTAAAAAATCAGTCTTATCTGCTGGAAATGTTGTTTACTTCATGTGGAATCTCTTTTTTTAAGACTTAATTTAGTCTGTGGCTGGTACAGTGGGATATTAGGCTGATCCTCTACCTGTAGAGCTGGCATCTTGTATCGATGCTGGTTTGTGTCCTGACTGTTCCTCTTCCGATCCAGCTCCTTGATTGTGGCCTGGGAAAGCAGCAGAGGATGGCTCAGGTCTTTGGGCTGGAGCACAGTTCTGTCTGTTGTGGCCATGTGGGGAGTGAATCAACAGATGGAATACCTCTCTTTCTCTTTGTAAAATCTACCTTTTTGATAATATTAAATAAATCTTTAAAGGATAGACAGAGGAAGAGATTTTATATCTACAGGGTTGTTTTGAAGCCACGAGCCTGGAGCTCCCTCTGGGTCTCCCACATGAGTACATTGGTCATCTTCCATAGCTTTCCCAGGAACATTAGCAGGGAGCTGGATGGAAGTGGAGCAGCCAGTATTCAAACTGGTGCCCACACGGGATGCTAGCTCTGTGGGTGGAGGAAGAGCCTCTGACACCACAGTGCTGTCCTCTGTGTGGTCTTCATCTACCAGGGTAAACCAGTAAATCTAATTGAAGGGGTAGGGTGTGTGGTATTCCTAGCTCTTTGGCTTACCTTGCAGTGAGAGATTGTGGCTTTGCTTATAAATGCTTGCTATGTTAGGAATTTGACCATCCAGACCAACCAAGCAAGCAACCGAAGCATCCATCTCTCCTCTTTCTTCTCTCTTTCTCGCTTCCTTCCTTTCTTCCTTTATTTCTTTGTTTATCCCTTTCCCCCTCCCTCCCTTTCTTCCTTCCTTTTTTTTTTTCCTGTGCCAGTCATAAGAAAGAAGCCACTCTTTCTTTCCTTGGGTGTCCCACATGCATGGCAGGAGCCCCAGTTCTTGGCCCATCATTTGCTGCCTTCCAGTTCATTAGCAGTTAGCTGGAGCACAAGCGGAGTAGCTGGGAGTTGAACCAGTGCTTGGCTATGGGATGCTGGTGTCACAAGCAGCAGCTTAGTTCGTTGTGCCACAGTACCATCCCCAGAAAAGGAGGCTGGGGTGTTTGAGAAGCCTGTGTCTGTGCCGACAGGTGGGTTCTAGGAATTGGGCTAGCTCACTGGGACTGAAACCAGGGTGGATTGAAGAGATGAGCAAGGGAATCAGATAAGGAGAAAGCAGTCAGGTATGGATGGAGTGGAGAATATGCATGGGATGAATTTTATTTATTTCATTTCCATCTTGGTTTGATCGGCCCTCTTAACAAATGTTTATATTCTTTGAGTTTCTATTTTCCATCTGGTGTCTCTTTAGCTGGGAACAGGCCTATCTGGGGTACTAAGCTGGAGGCCTGAGAGGTGCAAGTTCTAGCAGTCAGTAGGTCTAGAATCTTTACCAAGATTTCTCTCTCTCTAGGATTTATTGATTTACTTGAAAGGCAGTTACAGAGAGAGAGGGAGGGACAAGAGATTGATCTTCCATTCGCTCATTCACTTCCGAGGTGGCTACAGTGGCTAGAGCTGGGCTGGTCTGAAGCCAAGAGCCAGGAGCTTCTTCTAATGTGATTGTTTTTATCAGATCCATCGGTTTAATATGAGAGCAATAGAAGCAGGAAAAAGTGAAAATAGCTAATTTGTTAAAAAGTCTGTTGTCACACTGGGTGAGAGTGTAGCTGATCTTAACGGGGACATCTGTTTGGAATGCTTAGAATTAAACAATTTAGAAATACAGTGACCTTGGACCCAGTACAATGGTTCAGTGGCTAAATTCCAACCTTGCAACCACCAGGATCCACAGGGTACTGATTCATGGCCCAGCTGCTCCACTTTCCATCCAGCTCCTTGCTGTGGCCTGGCAGAGGACGGCCCAAAGCTTTGGGACCCTGTATCCACATGGGAGACCCGGAAGAGGCTCCAGGCTCCTGGCTGCAGATCAGCTCTGCTCTGGCTCTGTGACCACTTTGGGAGTGAACCAGTGGATGAAAGAGCTTTCCTTCTCTATAAATATGCCTTTCCAATAAAAATAATTAAATCTTTAAAAAAGAAAGAAAATAAACAGTAACCTTAGACACATTACAGGCTCTTACCACCATCTCCAGCAGTCTCTTCTCCTGTTAGTTATTTCTCATGTTGCTACAAGAATGATTAAATGTGGAGTGTAGAATTTGCCTAAATTTGAATCTTGGTTTTTCCTTTCATCTCTAAGTTGTAGATAGATGGAATTCCTCATCTATCAAAGTAGCAATAATAATATATATTACCTATTTCAAAGGGTTGTTCTATATATCAAGTGCAATTTTATTGTGTGTGTATATATATAGGTATATATTATATATGTGCGTGTGTGTGTATATCCTTAAGTTTGTGCACAGTGCTGTGAACAGTAGCTATTGTTTGTTGTTGATGCCACCCTTGCTACTTGCCTTCAAAGGTTATGGGAAACTGCTGACCTGATTTTTACCCTTGTGGATGAAACCCTAACAGGATAGGGAACTCAGCCAGCCAAGGAGTTTATTAATGAGGCTCCCTGAGGTATTCCTCCAGGAGTCCAGTCTCACTAGAGGGACAGAGTGAGAAAAGCTGTAGGGAAGAGACACACTAGCTGTCAGAGAAGCTGCCATTTCCTCCTTCCGCCAGAGTTGGATATGCCAAAGGACCCCTCCTTTTTCCATATTTGGCAGAGCAAAGGGTACCCCAAAGGAAAGATGAAAGGCTTTTAGTTCAAAGGTATAGTTTTAGGGCCTGACACAATAGCCTAGTGGCTTAATCCTTGCCTTGCTTGCACCAGGATCCCATATCGCTGCCAGTTTGTGTCTCGGCTGCTCCACTTCCCATCCAGCTCCCTGCTTGTGGCCTGGGATGGCAGCACAAGGATGGCCCAAAACCATGAGACCCTGCGGCCATGTGGGAGACCCAGAAGAAGCTCCTGTGTCCTGGCTTCAGATCAGCTCAACTCCAGCCATTGAGGCCACTTGGGGAGTGAACCAGCAGATGAAAGATCTTTCTCTGTCTTTCCTTCTCTCTGTAAATCTGCCTGTCTAATAAAAAATAAACCTATGGGGGGAAAAAGTGTAGTTTCAGTCATGCCCCCTTTCTGGAACCCTGGTTCCCTGGGTCGTCGTCTCCTGGCACTCCGTGCTGTGTCTGGCTAGGTCAGACAGGCCTAAAAGCCTCCTTGGGATCCTTTCCAGCTTGTTCAGCTTGTTCAACCAAATCCATTCTGCCTTGACCTTTTACTGGCAGATGAAAAGCAGATGGCCTCCACCTGTTTTTGCTCAGCTCATGGCATCAAACAGTATGACATTTCCTAAGAAGGGAGGTAGGGGGACAGGGACAGGACTAGGAGCCTTGCTTGCAGGCCTTCCTGCCTTATTAGAGGATAACTCAGTCCCTTTTCCTGCCCCTGTGTGACAGAGCAAGGGATCATTTTGGGATGGAGGAGTCCCACAGAAGGCGAACCTCCAGAGTGGAAAGTCTTTTGTTGCCACTCAGTATCCCACTGGTGCTGCTGCAGTTGGAGAGGCTCAGGGCAGGGGCTTCCTCGGGGTGGGAACAGAAGCCTTAGCCTCAGCTTGCTGGCTGCTCACCAACTCATTTCTCACAGTGCTACCGGGACTTGGCTCTGGTGAGTCGTGACGGTATGAGTATCGTCCTGAATAAAATCAACCAGATACTCATGGAGAAGTACCTGAAACTGCAGGACACCTGCCGTACTCAGGTAAGGCTGGAAGGAACAGAGAAGATCCTGCTGAGAGATGGCAGAGAGCGGATCTTCTTTTTCACTGGGAAGGGGAAGGGTAGGGGGAATCGGAGGGGCAGCACACCCCACCACCGTGTGCCTGTGTTGTAATGCAATTGAAATTACCTGCTTTCTCAAACTCATGGGCTCTGCCCTTCTGTTTCTGCCTGTTTCCTGTAGTTGGTGTGGTTGGTACGGGAATTGGTGAAGAGTGGGGTTCTGGGAGCCGACGGTGTTTGCATGACATTTATGAAGCAGATTGCAGGTGAGTTGGATGGCAGGAGTGTGGAGAAGAGGCGAGGAGCCCAGAGGCTAACCCAGGCCCTGGAGCTGACTCAGCCACTGGAGGACCACATTGCTGGGTTGCTTAGACTCTGTCCTCCTGATGAAGACATGTTCTGGCTGCAGATATTGCAGACAGAAATTGATTGAAAAATCACAGGGGGCCTTTTGAAGTAATAGGTCTTTTTTCATTTTCTTTCCTGCCAACTCCAGGACCTGACAATATTTGACCCATTTAGCCCTTCTTCACTCTGAAGTTGAGGTTTCTTGGCCTGTTGGGTCCTGGGGAGAGGAGCAAGGCCCGTAATTGTTGCCCTGTCATTTTGCTTTCAGAAGCCTGGACATATTTCCTGGCTCCGCCCTTGTGTTCTGACCACTTGCTCCCTTGTAATTATGATATCTGATTGGAACCAGTCTGAGGGACACACTATGTCACCGAACAGACCCTGACATTTTGCTTTTATTATCTATTGTCTTGGCATTGGTTGAATCTCTCCCAGTCACTGAATGTTCAGGAGGTCTGTCTGTGCTGTTCTCCTACCCCGGATTACACGTGTCTGTGTGAAATGACCCTGCCTTTCTGCTCATGGGTGTTTGCTCTTCAGGGTCTAACTCTGGTGCTCCTGCTTGGATGTATATGATGAGCCTTCTGTGATGTGTGACTATGTGAACGCTGAATTTTTAAATTAGGACCTGGGGCAAGGCATAGCGTTGTTATGCTGGCTATTTTAATCCTGTCTCCTGGCACTTTGCTTCCCTGTTGGGTACACCCTGCCCCCACTTCTCATTCCCACAAGAGGTTGCACATTGCTTGTACTCCAGAAAGTTCTGCAGTAAGCACTCAAGACTGCAACACCCAGCATGAAACTCTTGCTTTGTCCCAAACCTGAGCACTGAACACCAGCATCCACAGGCTGGGCTGCTGTCGGCCCTGTTGGAATGTCAGCCTTCCTCTCCCACTGTGGGTTTCTCATGTCTGCTTCTCAGGCATTCCTTTTCAAGGGCTGAAGTGTTCCCCCTCCAATTCCCAGTCCATGGAACCTCTGTTGTCTGAAAAATTTTCAAAGTGTCCCTCCCTTTCTCTCCAGAGGCAAAGAAGGGAGCCGGGTAGCATCCCTAAACAGAAGACAGTCCCGTTTATCCAGCACTCAGGACCATAACGATGGGATGATGGGGAGGACCCCCAGGATGAGGCAGAGGTGGACTGGATTTGCCAAGTTGTTCATCAGAGCTCTTCTCTCTCTTTTTTTCTTTTCCCCACTTCAAAAACAGGTGGAGATGTTACAGCCAAAAACATCTGGTTGGCAGAAAGTGTCCTAGATATCCTGACGGAACAGAGGTAGAGCCGACCGTGAGGGATGGGGCAAGAGCCATATATGCCTGTGAGGGGGGATAAGGATGGGAATGGGAGTGAAGGGGTTGTGTGGCCTTGAAGAGAAGGGTCAAGGCAGGGAGAGGCAAGTGTGGGCATTATGGTCCCAGCGTGGCCTGGGGATGGAGTGGGAAAGAAGGTCTAGAGTGTCTCGAGCCCAGGAAAATCTGGCCTCATCTGATAAGGGTTTATTTTTGATGCAGACCTCCTTGGAATGTTTCTCTTGCGGGGGCAGTTGGGGGAATGAGCTCAGCTGCGTGGGCCCAGCCAAGCACCCAGGCCTGGCTGGTACCTCTTTCCTCCCTCCAGGTCTCTCAGTCCATCTCAGGCTGGTTTTGAAGTGGCACAGGGATTGTGGGGCGGGGAGTTCTTGGAGATCAGTGGGCCCTGCTGGTCTGCACACAGGGCTTGGAGGCCTCAGGTAGATGGCGGAAACAGGGGCAGAGGGAACTGCTCACCGCTTTCCCTGCCCCATCGAGGTAAAGGATGAGGCATGTTGTGAGGGTTGTTCTGCATCTGGGAGTGAGGCCTACTCTTGGTCCTGTGGCCTCTGAGCTGATTTCTGAGCCTGTCTCTAGATAGACACAGTAGTAACCAAATGACTGCGTGAACTAATACTGTCCGCATCATCTGTTGTCTGAAAGAATAGCCCTCATGTTAGTCACACTTGTGCCCAGGCCTGCTGTGCAGTGCCACCTAGTGCTCCGGGCATGATACGCAGCTGGGGCTGATGCCGCAGCCGGACACATGGTAGTCTCTCACTGTGCCGTGGCCTCTCCTGGGTTTCTGTGCTAATCTCCCGTGCTGGGCAGCGACTCTTCCCCTCACCTTTCTCTTTATTATGCCATTCAAGGATTAGCATATGCTTGGCATTTCTGCCAGAGGCGTTCCTGAAGAGTGATTTTTCTCATTTCATTACAAGTATCTCCTGTCCGCTCAAAGCTGAGTTTCCCATAGTGCATGGGTAACAGCCAGAGAACTGCCCTGCCCTATCTGCTCCCCTTCCTGCAAACCTCACATCTTTTGGTGAAAGTGAATACCTGGAGATTTAAAGCTATCCCCTGTGCCCTCCTTCTCCCCCTTCTAACCAGCTCTAGGACAGTGGGGCTGAATGTAGCAAGTAGGGAGTAGGGTCCTGCCCAGCATCCTTGGCTGGTGTTCTCATTCCGTGGAAGGAAAAGGCCAGAGCTTTTTAATTAGGTAACTTGAGCACTTTTCCGGAATCAGGATGTTGCCTGGCTGGATTAATTAAACTCCTTGTCTTCTTCCTGCAGTTCCCTGCCTGCTAATTGTTGCCAAAGCCATTACCAACTGTTTGCTTGGGGAGACAGCTCCCCAGTTTGAGCCCTTGGACACAGTGTTAGTTTCAGGACTTGCCCCACTGTATCTTTGTCTCTTCCCCCTTTAAAGTTACAGAGAATGAGCAGTACTGTCTTTATGCCTCCTCTTCCCCAGGGACATTATAAGACTCCTGGGAAAATGAACTTTGCCATCCAAACTCAGGTTGCTTTTTTCCTCAGATAGTGATTTTAAAGCAGGTGACTCACTGTCTGGGAGTGAGGTCCGTAGCTAGAGCGAGCTGGGGAAGGATCTAGGGCAGGGTCACCTGGTAGTGCTAAGCCTGACAGAAGAACAGAAAACAGAAGTGTCCTTGTGCCCCACTTCAGAACTACTAACTTGGGGGACACTTGGGAAGTGTCTCCCCCAGGGTCTAAGCTGAGTTCAACCTGTGGCTTATCTCTGTCTACATTGCCTCATACCCAGCTTGGCTCTCAGTGAATGAATCAGCAGACAGAGGTTTTACGGGAAAGTTTGCTTTCATTCAGCATTTACCTGTATTGGTCAGTCACCTGGCATGAGTGAGCAAGCACACCACCAGGGAAGCTGCTCCCAGGACCCACTGGTCCAACATAAGTGAGGGAACTGGAGTTGCATCTGGGGAGGGTGAACAGGTGTAGACGGGATGCAGGTGTCAGTATCTTTCTTCCTGCAGGGAGTGGGTGTTGAAGAGCAGCATTCTCATCGCCATGGCCGTCTACACATACCTCCGCCTCATCGTGGACCACCACGGCACTGCCCAGCTCCAGGCCCTGCGGCAGAAGGAAGTGGACTTTTGCATCTCACTGCTTCGGGAGCGGGTGAGGGAGGGCAGAGAGACCCAGGATGAGGAATCTCTGGAGGTTTTGTGCATCTGGGCCAGAGATGCCTCCCTAGCGATGGGAGCAGTTCAAGATCGGGTAGGAGGGAGGGGCAATGGGTGTGAAATAGCCCCAGTTCCTAGAAATGCTACCCACATGCTGGCATCCTGGCAAGGTTCCTGGCCAGCTTCAAGGACACTGCTGTAAAAAGGGACAAACCACCCTGTGTGCCCACTGTGAGGTTTTCCCCTTCTCTGCTCCCACCTACCCACTGGGTGATTCTCACTGTCAGCTAGTTATGGATTGTCTACTATCACGTTTCTTTCTTTCTTTTTTTTCATTCTCATTTATTTATATTTTAAGATGTATTTATTTTTATGGGAAAGGCAGATCTACACAGAGGAGAGACAGAAAGTCTTCTGTCCACTGGTTCACTCCCAAAGTGGCCACAGTGGCTGGAGCTACCCCAATCTGAAGCCAGGAGCCAGAAGCTTCTTGGGTCTCCCGCGGGGGGTGCAGGATCCCAAGGCTTTGGGTCATCCTCTCCTGCTTTCCCAGGCTACAAGCAGGGAGCAGGTTAGGAAGTGGGGCTGCCGGTAGTAGAATCGGCGTCCATATGGGATCCCAGTACATGCAAGGCAGGGGTTTAGCTACTATTCTGTTACGCGAGCCCCATACTATCAGGTTTCTCAAGAGCAAGATTCCAGAGTTAGGTTGGTGCAGCAGCCACTGGCTATGTTAATATCAGATAAAACTTCACAGTTCAGTTCTTTTGCTGCACTGGCCACGTGTCACTGATGGATATTGCTTGGACGGCATAGACACAGATTGTTTCCGTCACCACAGATTGTTTTGTTAGACAGAAGGAATCTTGGGATAGGGTGTCTGAGGCTCAGTCTGCCAATTCTGTCCTTTTGGAACTGTAGACTTGTGGGTGGAGAGGGAAATAGGTTAATGGGAAATGGGGGGGAGAAGGGGGTTGGCTCAGCACTTCCAAGGAAGCTGCCATCCTTGACATCAGTCCCAGCCTCCAGCTCTCTTCCCCGAGTCGCGAGGAGCCAAGCCCTTGGTTCCAAAGGAAGCCGTATAGTCCCTTCACCCTCTTTCCTTTCCTCCCTAGAACATGTTGTTCCTTTGTCCTCTCTAGGAGGTAAACAATCCATGTTTTTATTCTCTTTCCTGTCCCCCCCTTCCCTTATCACCATCAAGTTCATGGAATGCTTAATGATTGGCCGGGACCTCGTAAGACTACTTCAGAATGTTGCTAGGATACCGGAATTTGAACTACTTTGGAAAGATATTATCCATAACCCTCAAGCCCTGAGTCCTCAATTCACAGGTAAGTAAGGTCCTGGCCTCCTGACCTTGAGGGTGAGAGGTCACTAAATGTGTCCTTCCATCAGGTGGATGGAACCTCTGGTGGTCAGGCAAAGCTCAGACAAGGCACGCTTTGCCAAATCTAGCTGGACTTGGAAATGGCAGAGCCACACAACAGTCCATGAGGTTCCTAGACAGCCCTGCTTGGCAGGCAGAGAACTGGATCCTCCTCCCATCCCGGTGGTTCCTTGGGTCAGGAGGTGAGCCAGTGACCAGTTGCCAGCTTCACTGAGACCAGCGGGAAGGTCAGAGGTCAACTTGTGAGACTGAGTCAGTGGGAGGGGCTGGCGGCAGTCCTGTGAGAGAACGCCTGTTCCCAAGGGCCGTCTCTCCTCTGTCTTGGCTTTGACCAAGGATCCTCTTTTCGGAGGGGCGGGAGTGTCTCTGTGCGTTTTCCTGAGGAGGGCCTCTTCCTTCTCCCCAAGACCTGCTGCAGCCTGTACAGCCTGGCTTCCCACTCCAACATGCAGTCCCGTCCATGCCCACTGCACACACACAGACACAGAGCACTCATGCAGGGCCTATGCTCAGCGAGAGAGGGAAGTGCTGAGGCTCCCTGATACTCCAGTCGTTGCAGGCTGTGCTGGACATGTGCCAAATTGCTGAGCGTCGCCATGTGAGGCGCACACACAGCATTAACTCATTCCATGTTCAGGACAGCCCTGTTTGTTGGTGTTTTTATGTCTGCATTTTTTTTTAAAGTGTTATTTATTTTTATTGGAAAGGCAGGTTTACAGAGAGAAGGAGAAACAGAAGGATCATACATCCACTGGTCCCAAGGCTTTGGGTAGTCCTCTTTTGCTTTCCTAGGTCACAAGCAGGGAGCTAAATGGGAAGTAAAGCAGCCAGGACAGGAATCGGGGCCCTATTTCTACCTTTACAAGTAAAGAAAAGAAGTTCAGAGGAATTAGGTCATATATCTAAGTCCTCATACCTCATAAGTGATAGGTGGTGTTTGGATTCCAATCTTTCTCATTCCAGAGCTTATAATTCTGCCACACCATACTGATCTAGGAAGATGGGTGGGCTTTCCGTCTGCCGTGACCTCAGTGATGTGGGTAGGAGGCTCTGGAAGGCCAGAGAAGAAAAGCTAACTAGCTAGAGCTGGCCATGGGGGTAATGTGGGTTGGAGCAGAACCATGATGCTGGGTAGAATCCCCACACACTCCTCTCGTGACCTCTCTCTCTCTCTCTTTTTTTTTTTTTAAGGGAGAGATTTGTTTTATTTGAGAGGCACAGAATTATGCAGAGAAGAGAGAAATACAGAGATCTCCTCCACTAGATCATTCCCCAAATGGCTGCAACGGCCAGAGCTGAGCTGATTCAAAGCCGAAAGCCTGGAGTTTGTTCTAGGTTTCCTGTGTGGGTACAGGAGCCCAAGCACTGGGCCTTCCATCTTGCAGGGAGCTTGCTTGGAGGTGGAGCAGCCAGGACTTAGACTGGCCTCCATATGGGATGCTGGCACCAGTGCCTCTCTTCGTCTTGTCTTGGAATTTCCCCACGGGCAGGGCACCTGGCTGTCAGTGTCTGGCCCAGTCTCCACTGTCTTCCACTCCTGGTCCTCACCTTGACTTCTTTCTTTCCCCTTGCTTCCTCTCACTCTTCCTTCCTTTTTTTTTCCCCCCCTTTCTCTAATATTTATTGATTTGACAGGTAAACAGACACTAGAGACCTTGTATCTGGTGGTTCACTCCCAAATGCCCACAACAGGTAGAAGTGGGCCAGGCCAAAGCTAGGAGCAAGAACCCTTTCTGTATTGTGGGTGGCAGGGATCCTGGTTCCTTAACCGGCACCTGCTGCCTCCTGGGTGTACATTAATAGAAAGCTGAGATGGAGAGCAGATGGGAGATTCAAACCAAAACACTCCAGTGATGGGAAGTGAGTGTCCCAGCAGCATCTTTTTTTTAAAGATTTATTTATTTTATTGCAAAATCAGATTCACAGAGACAAGGATAGACAGAAGTGGCTGCAATGGCTGGAACTGAGCTGACTGAAACCAGGAGCCAGGAGCTTTCTTGGGGGTCTTCCACATGGGTGCAGGTGCCAAGACTTTGGGCTGTGCTCTACTGCTTTCCCAGGCCACAAGCAGGGAGCTAGATGGGAAGTAGAGCAGCCAGGATTAGAACTGGCACCCATATGGGATCCCGGGCTCGTGCGTGGAAAGGATTTTAGCCACTAGGCTACTGTGCCAGGCCCCAAGCAACATCTTGGCCACTGATCCAAATGCCCTCCCCTCTCTTTGCTCCATTCTTCTGCCCTTGTTCAGGTATCCTGCAACTTCTTCAGTCAAGAACATCCCGGAAGTTTCTAGCCTGTCGTCTCACCCCAGACATGGAGACTAAGCTCCTCTTCATGACATCGCGGGTAAGCTGACTGCTGGCTTCTTGCTTGAGGCCGCAGATCTGCTCCCACTGAGCACTGACCACAGGAGTGATATTTAAATGGGTGGCCTTGATCTGCTTGCTGCTGGCTGTTTTCCTTTGTTTAGTCTGTGCCTGCACATTGGACATGATGCTAAGAACTGCAGTGCAGTGTTGAGTAAGAGCTACAATTCTAACTCTTGATGAAGCTTGCAGTCCTGAAAGCATCAATTGCATGCAAGTACTGTCATTCACAAGTATGAATGTGCTATATAGGGGTGGAGCAAGAATGTGTTCACCTGGGGTTCTAGATGTGGCTGAATGATGACTGATCTGCTTAAGGAGCACGTGTGTTAGAGGTGGAGCTTCCTGGTCCCACTCCCCAGAGAAGCTGGCTGAGGAGTCTAGCCGTAGCAGGCTTCCCAGGCAGTCTCTCTGCAGCCAGTCCGGCAGCAGGGAAACCTGATCCTAACCAGTTTTGCATTTCCCCAGTCATCCAAGAGAACTGGTGAGGGCTGTGCTGTATCAGGTGGTAGCCACTGGCCACATGTTGCCATTTCAGTGACATTGCTTGTGATGAAGTACAAAGCTAAAACTCAAGTGTCTCATTTGCAGTAGCTGAGTTTCGAGCTCCATGTAGCCACCGTCATTGCACAAAGTCCTGTTGGACAGTGCTGATCTAGATGTGTCTTTCTGTTTGTTTGGCTTTCTGCTCTATTTTGGTTTTCTTCTGACCAGAATAGAGGAAAACTAGATCCTTCTCCTTATTTGGTATTGCTTTTTGTAACCATTTGGGGTCTGTGTAGGGGAAGAGCTGGCAGGGGAAGTGTGTGCCATCGCTGCTGGTCCAGTCAGGTCACCGGCATCAGGAGGCTCATCGAGGCTGAGTGGTGAACAGGCTACACGCCTGCGCCTGAGCTTCTTACCCTGCTGTTCACCAGTGGCAGAAGAGAGAGAAGCATTATCCTTTTTTTTTTTTTTTTTTTTTTTTTTTCATTGGAAAGGCGGATATACAGAGAGGAGAGACAGAGAGGAAGATCTTCCGTCCGATGATTCACTCCCCAAGTGAGCGCAACGGGCCGATGCTATGCCGATCCGAAGCCAGGAGCCTCTTCCGGGTCTCCCACGCGGGTGCAGGGTCCCAAAGCTTTGGGCCGTCCTCGACCGCTTTCCCAGGCCACAGGCAGGGAGCCGGAAGGGAAGCGGGGCTGCCGGGATTAGAACCGGCGCCCATATGGGATCCCGGGCGGCAAGGCGAGGACCTTTAACCACTTGCGCCACCGCGCCGGGCCCGAGAAGCATTATCCTTATGACCAGAGAATTAGTGACTGGTACAGGAGGAGGGAATCGAAAGTGGGGTGCAGTGGCAGGCAGGGGTAACTGGAGTATCAGGTCAGAGGTAAGAGTGTATCCCTGACATGCTAGGCCTCGCCAAGGAGGGAAGTCTTCAGAGACAGGGCAAGCTAAGAGGAAGTGTTGGGAAGAAATGGCGGTTGAATCAAGCCTGGGGTTGTCTACTGCTCATTTTGCTCTGCCTAGCACCCTATCCTTGATTCCAAGTTTTCTTTTCCCAATTTCCCCCCCTTCTCCTAGGTGCGATTCGGCCAGCAAAAGCGGTACCAGGATTGGTTCCAACGGCAGTACCTGTCTACCCCCGACAGTCAGTCTCTGCGCTGTGACCTCATCCGCTACATCTGTGGGGTGGTTCACCCTTCTAATGAAGTACTCAGTTCAGATATCTTGCCCCGATGGGCCATCATTGGTTGGCTCCTGACGACGTGTACGGTGAGAGCCTAGGCCATGTGGTGTAGGATATTGAGATGTGAAGGGCACCTCCTCATGGTCCACATATCTCCTTCCTTCTTGTTGCTCCAGGGCCACCTGACACGTCAGGACCCTTCTTCCTCTCTGGTTTTCTGGATATTTCATTCTCCTGCCCCACCTCCTTTTAGGCCTCAAGAAGTTGGGTTGCACTCATTGTTTCCCACCCAGGGTTCATCTGCCACATTAGTGTCTGCTGGCCCTGGAGCCTGGCTCTCTGAGGAAGGCGTTCCTTCTTGATGTGGTTATTCCACTAAATTGTCCCTTCCCGGGATTCAGGACTGGCATTCCTTAGACCACACCTCTGTGCCTCTTGGCATCAATCAGCTTTGGATAGTTCCTTCTCCAAATAGTGAACATACAGGTGGCCATTTTCCTTCCCATAGTTTTCCTCCCTGTGCCTGGGGTGGGAAACTCTGGTCTCTGGCACCTGGCTGCCCCCTGACCTCTTCTAACTGGGTTCTGCCTTCCCCTTCTGCGTGAGTTCTTGGCCGTGCTGATTCAGATGTAACAGCAGGCCCGCTCGTGGGATCTCCTCTTCAGCAGTAGCCTGTGAGCTCAGGGGTGGTTGTGATCTCCTCAGCCCAAAGGTTTCTCCTCATGGGGATCAGGGATGCATGCTCTAGGATGTGTGAAGGACCCACACCAGCACTGTCCACTCTGGTGGGTGAGACCACAGGGTCACTCACAACAAAGGCGCAGGTGCCGCTCTTCCCCATGGGGTTCCATCCTGTGTCATTAGGAACCAAACTTCTTGGATGAGACAGCCCAGCAGGCCTGGAATCTGTCTTGGCCTCCATGGACAAGGGGCTGGTTGGTGAGATCAGCTGTGTTTTTTCCTCCCTTCTCTTTTCTAGTCAAATGTTGCCGCCTCTAATGCCAAACTGGCTTTGTTTTACGACTGGCTATTCTTTAGCCCTGACAAGGACAGCATTATGAACATAGGTATGTGACCAAGACCAAGCAGAGCCACTGCCCCACCCCCAGACCCCACTACCTTGTCCTGGTGATGGCATTCATAAATCGCAGGCTGTGAGGAGTTTGAGGCAGCTTATCTGGTACCAGTTCCGGTGTTCCTCATCAGTTCTCCCTTGACCTAGAAGGAAAATTGCTTTGATGAGGCTAAGCCATCACCCTACCCCCTTCTCCCCACAACCTTGTGCCTGGGCTTTGTGTTGAGGGAGGGGGGACGGCAAGGAAGTGACTCGCCCACATTCTGCTTTTCTGTTACTTCTGCCTTTGTTCAGCAAGTTGAATGCTGGGTATAAGAAGGGCGGGAGAGGGGGCTAAGCTGAGAGAGGGACTGCCTGCTCTTAGGTCTGCCCCGTGGCAATGTGGGAGAGGGAACAGGGCCATTCATATATAGGGTTATGGTGTTTTGTGGAGATCGAGACAGGGTGTCTGATGTAGAGGGACCCTTTAATTCCACATTCTCTAGAACCAGCCATCCTGGTCATGCATCACTCCATGAAACCCCACCCAGCCATCACTGCCACACTCCTGGACTTCATGTGCCGTGTAAGTGTCAGCCCCTTTATTTTCTCCCCAGTCCTGAATGTGCAGAGCCTCTACAGTCTCCCTGGAGTGCTTGGTGACTGGCTCTCCCTGGGGCCCTTTGGCTAGGTCTGTGGGTCCTATCACCTAGTCCTCCCGTATTTCTGCCTCTCCAATGGGCTCTTCCCTTGTTTCTGGCAGCTTCTCCGCCACAGGGACAATGTCTCCAGGTAGACTCCAGTGTCATTGAGGAATATTTGGGTTTAGTAAGAGTTTTCTACATCAATGCCTAGACTGAACCAGTCAGGAACCCTACTGCATCCCCTCAGCAAAACCAGAACAGCATTGGGAACCGTCTAGATGGAGAGTCCTGTGTTCATTTTTTCCTCCCCTCCTTCCCTTCCAGATCATTCCCAACTTCTATCCACCATTGGAGGGCCATGTGCGACAGGGTGTCTTTTCCTCCCTCAACCACATTGTGGAGAAGCGGGTCTTGGCGTAAGGAGCTGACAACTGAGGGTGGGGAAGGGTTGTGTTGCTGAGGTCCAGCTGCTGGCAGGTCAGGCCTGTCCCAATACTGCCACGGCCCTCCTGGCCTTTTCCTTGGATGGGTGTGGAGTTCTGACTCCACTCTGCTGGGCCACATCCTCTTGAGCTATAGAGAAACTTCTCTCTTACTTTGTTTTTACCTTATATCACAAAGAGCTTCAGTTGCCTTCTGTTGGCTGTTGGCTATGTCCAAGGGTCTGGGAGTGGCCAGAATATACTGATTGGGCTCAGACCTCTTTTTAACTCCAGGTTGAATTAGAAATGAGGGGCTCTCATGTTGACTTTCCTTTGCATTCCCCTTTAGACACTTGGCTCCCCTATTTGACAACCCTAAATTGGACAAAGAACTGCGGGCAATGCTGAGAGAGAAGTTTCCTGAATTCTGCAGCTCTCCATCGCCCCCTGTGGAAGGTGTGTGCCCCCTCATCCTGTCGCCTGTGTTGGAGGAAGGAGGAGACATCCCGGGCTCTCCAGCCAGAGCCTCTTAGGATGTCCTCGCTGCGGCTCTCTGCCTCTGTGACAGCTTTCACCTCAGTTCTCCTTCCTGTGCTCTCTTTTCATTCCTTTCTCTGTTGTCTCTCTTGGTTCTCTCACTTGAGTCAGTCTTTTCTGACCCTCACTGATCTTTCTCTTAACTGTTACTTGTTCCCTTTGCTGTCTTCTCAGTAGGTAGAAGCCTTTCATGGGATGTGTGCTCATCTGCCTTTGATGCTGCCCGTTGTCTTGTCACTTCCCAGCTCTTAAGTTGCTGATGAGAGGTTGTCATATTGGTTCTCAAACCTCGCTTCCAACTCCAAACTGCCGCCTGTGGGGCGTAAGCAGAGAAAAGCAGTCCTTGTCAACTTGGTTGTTGCACATTACAGTGCCCAGGGGACTGCTGCAAAGTCTAACTCCTAACTCAGCTGACCACAGTAGACTCCTGTCCTGCGCTTTGTTACTCCTAGTGACTATCCCACTGCAGGCCATGGAAGCTGTGAGGACAAGAAGGCTGTCCTTCCAGTCACTCCTCCTCCCAGGGTCTTAAAACTAGATATGCATTGCAGTCTCCCCTTCCCAGAAACATGGGGGTGTGTTAGGAGGCCGAGGAGGTGGCAAACCCTGGTTTCCCTTGACTCCCAAGTCAAAATCGAGGAGCCAGTTTCCATGGAGATGGACAACCATCTGTCGGACAAGGATGAGAATTGCTATGACAACGCAGAGGCGGCCTTCAGTGATGACGAGGAGGACCTCAACAGCAAAGGTGAGGAGGCAGCCTGAGGCGGCTCAGGGTGGCGCCCCTGGGAGGAGCAGTTCTCTGCTGTCTCCTCAGGTTCTGTTGTCAGGGTTCCTGGATGAGGCTTCAGGTCCAGAGTCTGTTCTTAACAGTGCCGGGCCAGGAAGGAAAGAAGCTATTCCGGGGCCTGTTTGCCTGTAAGAGCTAGGACACGTACATGGGGAGGCACTTGTTACCCACGAGGAAGGGACACGTGTCCAAGGGGGCTGGCCACAGCTGGCGCTAAGCCAACTGACTTCCTTCAGGAAAGAAGAGAGAATTTCGCTTCCATCCCATCAAGGAGACAGTGGTGGAGGAACCAGTGGACATTACCCCTTACCTTGACCAGCTGGATGAGTCCCTAAGAGATAAAGTTTTGCAGCTGCAAAAGGGGAGGTAGGTGCAGACACTGTCCCCCCACCTTGGCAATCTAGCACGGCTTCTCTGCCTGCTGCCCCATGGCCATGGCCAAATGGTGCAGTCTGTGCTGGGGAGCATGGGCCAGGAGTGGGGTGGCCTCGTCTCCCAGCACCTCAGGTTCCACCTCCTAGGCTCTGGGAGAACCCAAGCAGGACTGATGGGGAGTTTCCCAAATTTTCCATGGGTGTCTACCCAGAAAGCAGCAGCTTCCGCCCCAGCGTTGCCTCACCCCACCACCTTCACTGCGGTCTGAGACACAGAGCGCCTTTGTCCTGTGTCTGTGCATGCGTGCGCGTGTGCCCCGGGCATGAGCCCTGCCCTCTGCTCTCGTGTGTGTTCCTGAGATTTCCTCTCACTTCCGCACTGCAGTGACACGGAAGCCCAGTGTGAGGTCATGCAGGAAATTGTGGATCAGGTCTTGGAGGTGAGGAAGAGTCCAGTCCCTTAGGAAGGAAGCTGTGAGCTCAGAGCCCTCCCCTCCCGCTGTGTCTCCTGGGAACCTACTCCCTGATTCCTTCCTTCCCCACCCCTTCCCCTGAGATGGGAGGTGGAGGGATGGGAGGCTTGCTCTTCCCAGAGGTAGACACAGGTGACTCCAAGGTTTGGAGGAGAGGGGCAGTGAGGCCTGGATCTGTGTGATCTTCCCACCTTTGTCTCCCTCTCCCCATAGGAAGACTTTGACTCGGAGCAGCTGTCTGTCCTGGCTTCCTGCCTGCAGGAGCTCTTCAAGGCCCACTTCCGAGGCGAGGTGCTGCCCGAGGAGATCACCGAAGAGTAAGGCTCACCTCGCTGAGCCCCGGGCCTTGGGAGCCACTGGTGCACGCTTGCAGTCAAGTGCGAGAGACCAACTTGTTCCTTTTGTGCTCACATATGCTGAAGCATTTCAATACGGGTCTATGTTTACTCACTGAGTATCAGGGGTCCTGGGTCGGTGGTCTTGCATCTCCTCCCTGTGCTTCCAGCTTCTGCTGCTGAGCCTCTCAGCCCCAGCTTTTGCTGCTGGAGGTGAAATAGGACCCTGGCCTGGCCTCTGCCCAAAGAACAGGAGTCTCTCTCTCACCTTTGGGGGTGATAACAGCACACTGTGGTTCCAAGCCCCGCAGCAGAAAAGCAGCAGCAGGCTGGCATCCTCCATAATGCCCACCTGCTGTGCAGCCGCTCCCTGCGCAGGGCCCGTCTTACATAACCTCTTCCTGCAGGTCCCTGGAGGAGTCAGTGGGGAAGCCCCTCTACCTGATATTCAGGTAAGCGCCACCCAGCACATGTGCATTCCTGTCCTACGGCAGGAATGAGGAAGGAGGGCCCCTGCAGTGGACACAGACAGTGCATGCCAGCCCCAAAGCTCCCTGTGAGAGTGTGCCTGTGGTGAAGCCCCAGCATCCTCCATTCCCCACTTCCAGGAATCTGTGCCAGATGCAGGAAGACAACAGCAGCTTCTCTTTGCTTCTGGACCTTCTCTCCGAGCTCTATCAGAAGCAGCCCAAGATTGGCTACCATCTGCTCTACTACCTGAGGGCCAGGTAGGTGTGGCCCCCATTCAGCACTGGTCATCCTGGATGGCCCCCTTTGCCCACACGCCATACAAATCACCTTTGAAAAGTGTATGGCCATGGTTTTTAGGACTTTTACGAAGTTGTACAGCTATTACACAAAGAAACCCCAGCCACACACAGCAACAGCCACTGTCCTGTTCTCCCTTCCACCTGATCTGCACACTGACCCCAGGTGACTTGTATAGTCAGGCAGTGTGTGACCCTCTGTGACTCAGTGATCCTCACTTGGCATGTTCTCATGTTTCACATGTGTAGTGGCATCTGTCAGCCCTTCCTCCCTTGCTGTGGGCAGATAACAGGCCAGTGTGTGGATGTACCACATTCTGTTTGGCCCATGTCAGACATTCGGGTTATTTGGTGTCTCTAAGGCTCTGGCTAGCAGAGCTGCTATGAGCATTCCCACGCAGGCTTAGGGGTGAGCTGTCAGTTGCTCGGAACACAGCTGGCACTGCAGGAAAGGGGGTGGAACTGCAGCTCTTCTCTGCTCCCTCCAGGAATGGGTGCAAGTTCCCATTCCCCCACCTGCTCCCCAGCATGTGGCCGGCTTTTTCACTCCAGCTTCTCTGGGTGGTGTGACACGGGCCCTCAGTGTACTTTTTCTCTGCATTTCCCTGCTTATTGACCATTTATAGGTTTTCTTTGGAGAAAAGTCTTTAATCCTTTACCATTTTTAGTTTTTTTGTTATTGACTTTTAAACCCCACTCCCTGCCACATTGACTTTTAAAAATGTGTTATATAGTTTGAATGCAAGTCGCTTATCAAATACACTATTTGCGAATGTTTCTTCCCCCTCTGCAGATTGTCTTTTTCACCTTTTTGATGGCCTCCTTTGAAATAAGAAATGTTCAGTGTTTGTGGAGTCAGATCTACTAGATTTTTTCATTTCCCACTTAGGCTTTTGTCTCCTGTGTTACCTCCTGAGTACCGTGTTTCAGGGTTTAGAGTGAGGCCTGTGAGTGGTCAGAATGGCTTTGTATGTGACGAGGGGCTGGAGGCAGACAGCAAGAGGAGCCTCCACGGCTCGGCCCGACCCTTCCTCTCCTGCCCTGCCCCTCAGCAGTCAGCAGCTCCACTGCTTTGGGTTGGAGTCCTGAGGAAGGACGGGGACAAAGGAGAGGGGCTCCTGGTTGTCCTGTAAGTTGTAAAGGCCCTGGGGAAGACAAGGAGGCATCGGACAGAAGAGAGTTCTAGAATTCTAGGATTACTCGGGTGGGGAAGCAGGCTGTCGACCTAAGCCCACCTGCTCTTGCAGTAAAGCCGCTGCTGGGAAGATGAACCTCTACGAGTCGTTTGCTCAGGCCACCCAGCTGGGCGACCTGCACACCTGCCTGATGATGGACATGAAGGCGTGCCAGGAGGATGACGTGCGGCTGCTATGCCACCTCACACCTTCCATCTACACAGAGGTCAGTGCTTCCAGCCGTGTCCATGCAGGGGCAGCAGGGTCCAGGAGACTACCAAGCTCCAGGCAAGCTTGGAGCATTATACGATGCCACTGCTCCTTTGCTCGTGCACACCTCCGTGGGCCACTGCTCACCACACCACAGCTAGCAGCTCCTTTGGTTTGGTGAGTCAGGGATCTGGGCCTCTGTATGTGACGCCTTGGCTTCAGCCCATCTTTGGGATCCAGAGTAGAGGCCCTAAGCCCAGCGTTCTTCCGACAGCCCATCATGGGTTCTTTCCAGTGGTTCCTGAAGGCCAGGACTTGTGTGGTGGCTCAACTCACTTTCATTTCCCCTGGTTCATGTGCAGGCTTCTCCAGGAACAAGGACGTAGGAGGAGGAGGAGGAGCTCTTCCTTCTCTTGGTGACAGTTCCCAGGAATTGGGAAACTGGGGCCCAGGGTGTGGGCCTGACAGGAGGAACCGTGATCTCAGCCACACTGGGGGAGGGGGTGGAGAGAGGCGCAAATGCCAGCAAACACAAGGCACCTCCCTCGCCTTGCTCCTTCCTGCTCCTGGGGGGCCTGCCACCCCCACACATCCCCGCAGACATGCTCTCTCCATGCTTTGGCCCCTTTCCCTGAGGGTCAGCATAGAATGTATAAGTGCTTGTGTTCTCATGTAGAACCAGCCATTGAGTCCAGCCCCTTCAGCTCCCTCGTATCCCTGGGTTGCTGCCCATTGCTTTCCTTATACAGACACACACACTATGCCTGACACACCAATATCCCTTATCTTATGCACACAACAGTAGTAAAATGGGCATGCATTTTGCATGGTAGTTAAGGTGACACTCAAGGTGCCCACATTGCCATATCTGAGTTTCTGGTTCGAGTCCTGGCTTCACTGCCAATCCAACTTCCTGCTAACAGCCGATTATGGCCCTGCCACTCAGCGAGGAGACACACATTGAGCCTTAGGTTCCTGGGTTTGTCCAGGCCAACCCCAGATGTTATAGGCACTTGGGAAGTGACCCGGTGGGAGAGAAATGCATCTCTGTCCCACTTCTCTGCCCTTTAAATAAATAAATAATCAAATAATAGAATTTGAGGGCTTTTTGACTAGGTTCCTGCCTGCATAGCTGCGGGGTCTCTATTTAAGGGGGTGGTGTTTGTGCCATGTCTGTTGCTCCAGCCAGACCCTAAGCATGTGAAGGGGAGGCAGGAAAGTTGGTTATGAGGCAAAGTCCAAGGGTAAGGTGTTAGTGTTATGAGATAGTGGGTTAAACCACTGCCTGTAATGCCAGCATCTCATGTGAGCATCAGTTCAAGCCCCAACTGTTCCACTTCCAATGCAGCTCTCTGCTAATGACCTAGGAAAAGCAGCAGAAGATGGCCCAAGTGCTTGGGACCCTGCACTCATGTGGGAGACCTAGAGGAAACTCCTGGCTTTGATCTGACCCAGCCCTGGCCAGGAGTTAACTGACAGATTTTTCTCTTTCTGTAACTCTTTCAAATAAATATGTAATTTCTTTTTAAGTCGAGTCCACCTTCATTTCCTTCTTTTTCTTTCTAGTTTCCAGATGAGACGCTAAGGAGTGGGGAGCTGCTGAACATGATTGTGGCTGTTATTGACTCTGCGCAGGTGAGCTCAGAGCTCTGACTTACCCAGAGGAGCCTCCAGAGTAGGGCTGGGAACCTTGGGCGTTCTGCTTCCTCCCCAGACATGCACGCAGGACCCCGTGCTCTGTGGGCACGCAGCCAAGCTCAGGAAGGCTGGTCAGGCTCAAGCTGTCCTGCATGGTCCCCCTTACTCTGTGTGTGCTTTGGGTGCACCTGTGCCCACCTGGAGAGCTCAGCATTGTGTGGTTAGCTGTCAGCCAGCTGCCTCTTGCCATAGGATGAACAGAGTCAGGCCGTCCCACCCTGCTTGACTACCCCACCAAGCTCAGAGCACCTCTCAGGTCGGACCTGGGTCCCCCAAGAGCCTCGCTCCCCTCCAATCCCAGCTCACGAGGGCACTCTGCCCCCAGCCTCCCCCTGCCTTGCCCTTGCCCTGGCCACCCGCTTCCTCAAACCCAGCTCAGGTCAGCTGGAGCAGGTGCCCAGCCTTCTTGTGTCCTCGGGGTATGGGGAGGAGCTTCCATTGATGTTTTTGCTCCAGAATAAACTGCAGCTGTGTTCATCATCTGCCACCTTCCTCACTGTGGTGTGCACCCTGTCCCTGTCAGCGTGGTCTTCACTGCCCCATTTCCTCTCCTGAGCCACCTCCTACTGCTCCTCCTGGCCTCTTCACTTCCCCGAGCTAATGGTTTGCCCTTCCTCTGCTCCTCCTCAGCTCCAGGAGCTGGTGTGCCATGTGATGATGGGCAACCTGGTCATGTTTCGGAAAGACTCAGTGCTCAACATACTCAGTGAGTGACCAACCCTCCCAGCTTGCTGGGAGAGTGCCAGACGGGCCACCCCGTGTGCCCTCCAGCTCCGGGGCAGCTGGGCCCGGCAGGTGAAGGGGACAGAACACCCCTCCGTCCTGCTGCATGTCTTGGGCCATGTCTGTATGGATCTCTGTCTTCCCCTGTGGAATGGAAAGACTTGGGCTTGCCTCGGACTCGGGTTGATGGGAACCCAGAAGCTGTGTGAAGAAAGGACATGGGCATTTTGTGGAATGAGACTTGGGGCCACTGTCCCCACTTGTACTGTCTCTGCTCAGGATGCTGGTCATCCAGTTGGATCAGCTGTGTGTGTGTGTGTGTGTGTGTGTGTGAGAGAGAGAGAGACAGACAGACAGACAGACAGAAATGTTTCTCTCTGTCTCAGTCCAAAGCCTAGACTGGGAAACCTTTGAGCAGTACTGTGCCTGGCAGCTCTTCCTGGCCCACAACATCCCCTTGGAGACCATTATCCCTATCCTGCAGCACCTCAAGTACAAAGGTGAGTGGGTGTGGGGGCTGGGGGTGTGGGTGATGAAGAACCCTCCACCCCCACAAGGCAGATGCGTGCAACTTCTCTGCTGCTTACCACCTGCCCGCATGCCGAGACCTGAGCCAGGCGGGTCAGTGTCCTTGGCAGTGGCTGTCAGTGGGGCTGGGTGAGGTGCACGCCCTGAGCAGCCTGGCCTATCCCCACAGAGCACCCCGAGGCCCTGTCCTGCCTGCTGCTTCAGCTCCGGAGAGAGAAGTAAGTTGCCCTCCCCCCTGCCCACTCCCTCTGCAGTTCCAGGCCTCAGTCCCAGCATTCCAAGAGCTGCTATCCTTTCCAGTTCTGCCCCATTCTCTCCTATCATTGCCATCTACTTGTTTTACCCTCCCTCTCAGTGTGACTTACAAATAAGTGACTCCCCCGGGACCTGGGCTTCCTCTTGACTTCACCCCCTGCCCACAGGAGCTGCCCTTGGAGGTGGGGGCCGGACATCCCCATTTCCTGCTGCTACAGCAGTTCTAGTCCCGGTGGCTCCTGCCCCAAGCCCTCCCCAATGCTGCTGCAGGCCTCCACAAGCTAATCCAAGAGGAGGACGGGCCAGCACAGAGGGCTGTCACCATGCCATCCTTTGGCCTGCCAGCCCCGCTGTGCTCCTGCATACAGGGTGCAGGGGCCATCTCCTGTCAAAGTCCCTTGGGTAGTGGCTATGGGTCAACTCCTTCCTGCCTTTTTGCCTGCCTTTCATGTTTTATCTCTTGCCTAAGAGACTGGAAATGGTCCAGTGTCCTGGGAGAAGTGGCACGTTCATAGGACTGAGGGAGGGGAGGAGAAGGAGGCTCTGCCTTCAGGCACCCCCAGAGAGCAGGGTTTGTCCTTTTGCCGGCTGGACCCATTTCCTTTTCCTGACTCTTCTGGGGGAAGCCGGGGAGGGGCCGCAGGCTTCCTTCCCGGCAGCCATGCACGTGCCCGGCCATTGGGCCACGCAGGCAGGAGAGTCTCACTTCTCCTGGCTCCCCTAGAGAGAAGAGGGAGAGGGATGTGAAAGTAGGAACATGGCACGGGACTTGCAGGGTGGGGCCCAGGACGGGGCTGGCATCTGGGAAATGAGCGAGTGCCAGAGATGCAGCAGCTGAAGGCCAGCTGTGAGGTCCCTCCCCTCCCCCACCCCCAGGCCCAGCGAGGAGATGGTGAAGATGGTGCTGAGCCGGCCCTGCCACCCCGACGACCAGTTCACCACCAGCATCCTGCGGCACTGGTGCATGAAGCACGACGAGCTGCTGGCAGAGCACATCAAATCTCTGCTCATCAAGAACAACAGTCTCCCTCGCAAGAGACAGAGGTGGGGCCGATACCTCACCCCGCCACCCCACCACCCCACCACCCCACCACCCTGGGGCCCAGACTGCTGGCCCGCAGCAGGCTGTACAGGGGCTACCGCTGACTGGCGCGCAGGCGACACCTAGTGGTCAGGAGCCAGCAGGGCCCCACTCCAGGCCTCCTTGGCTCTCCCACCGTGGGTGCGTGTGTCTGGATGTGTGGGGATTTTGACCCCTTGGTCCTGCTGGAGCTGACTGTCCCTGGTGTTTTGCATGCAGCCTACGGAGCTCCAGTAGCAAGCTGGCCCAGCTCACCTTGGAGCAGATCCTGGAACACTTGGACAGCCTGCGGCTCAACCTGACCAACACCAAGCAGAACTGTATGTCTCCCACCCTCTCTCCCAAGAGCCAGGATGGGGTGGGGGCAGGACAGCCTGGGCTAGAACCCAAGTCCCTTGGAGAAGAGACATTACCCTTGGGCACAGCTCATTGTCCTTCCTGGCTCTCCCTTTCTCTAGTTTTTAGCCAGACCCCGATTCTCCAGGCGCTGCAGCACGTCCAGGCGAGCTGTGACGAAGCCCACAAGATGAAGTAAGGCTCCACCCGCTTTGGGGAAGTCCTGGGAAAGGGCCAGGAGGGAGGCCTGCCAGGGACAGAGACCCTGGGATTGGAGAGATCTAGGGGTCAGCATGTGGGCATACAGCATGCCTTCCTGGTGCTGGTTCAACTCAACGATTCCCAGCCAGCTCCCTGCTGATGCACCTGGGAAGGGTTCAGACCCCTTCTCCTGTCTCCTGTCTTTGGCCTGGCACAGTCTTAGCTGTTGAAACCATTTGGGGGTGAACCAACAGATACAAGTCCTAAGTGTCATTCTGCATTTCAAAATAAGTGCATGTTCGAAAGCCAGAGAGAGCCCTAGGCCAGGTGGCCATGTGCGGAGCAGGATGCAGGGCGCTGAGGGCTCCTCCCTGTCCCAGGTTCAGTGACCTCTTCTCCCTGGCGGAGGAATACGAGGACTCCTCGGCCAAGCCCCCCAAGAGCCGCCGGAAAGCGGCGCTGTCCAGCCCGCGCAGTCGGAAGAACGCCACGCAGCCGCCCAACGCCGAGGAGGAGTCCGCCTCCAGCAGCGCCTCGGTGAGGCCTGGGGCCCAGGCTGGGCGAGGGGCAGGAGAGCGGCGCAGTGGCCGGGTGCTCACTGCGTTCCTCCACTGTCCTTGCAGGAGGAGGAAGACACGAAGCCGAAGCCCACTAAGCGGAAACGGAAGGGGTCGTCCGCGGTGGGTTCTGACAGTGACTGAGACCCTGTGCTCCTCCCCACCCCAAATTGGACTGCCCTCCCCTCCTCAGTGAATCACAGGTTAATGGGGGACGGGGAGGGAACAGGGGATACCCCCTCCACACCCCGCTGCCCTGGGCAGGCTGAGCTGCGTGGGAAGCTGCCCCCGTCTAAAAAGCAGAGGCCGCCCTGCTTCCCCAGCCTCCCTGGGCGATGGCAGCAGGGAAACACGCTTGCGGCTTCCACACCGGTAGGAAACGGACGTCTGCTGGTGGCCGGGCAGCCCTGGCTTGCAGGATGGAGCCCCTCTGTGGTGCCGCATGCCAGGCCCGGGGGCTGTGGTTGGCACTCAGGAGCTAGACCAGAGCCAGGGAGTTCCCGAGCCGTGTGCAGAACTCTCACATGGGCCCATTTCCTTGGTTCTGTTGGTTTTCCTTTTGGCAGAGATAATCGTGTTTTCAGAGTTGTTTTTAAATGATAATAAACCAAGCCAGAACATCATTCGACCCCGTGTTGCCATGTTCCAGCACTGACCCTGTGGGGCTGTGCCGGCACTCCCAGCCCTGGGTTCCCAGAGAACCCCTTTTCCTTTCTGGCCAGCCCCTGGCTTTCTGTCTGCCTCCACGCCCTTCCCAAGAGGTGTGAGCCACACACTGACCTGTCCACGCAGAAATGGCTACTGGCTCCATCTCCTCTGGCTTGCCCCTCCGCTGTGTGAAGCCCCATTGGGCTTCCAGAAGTGAACTTTTTTGTCATCCTAAAGTGTGCTGAGGCTGTGTGCTTGGCAGCTGCTGAAGACTGCCTGGGGGGTGAGGGGGGAATGTCCCAACTTGGCCTGGGAGCAGAGGTGTGCGCCTTGGAGGAAGCTGCACCCCAGGGATGGAGTGCCTGCCCCAGGGATAGGGTGTCCCCCTTCCCCAGTCAGGCCACTTGCTGGGCTTTTGTTTCCCTGGTGCTGTGGTGGGGGGTGGGGAGAAGGGCCCTTGGGCTGCTGGCACACAGTCCCTGGGCAGGATGCCCTCTGCCCTCTGCCCTCTCCCCGCCCCCAGGGCTGCTACTCCTGCCTGTGACATTAACCCCCTGGGGGCCTCTTTTCCTTCCTCTCTCCTTCCCTACTTTCCTCTGTCCCAATTAAAATCAGGATGGAAAGCATTTGCTGGCTGGCCCTAATTATTGTACTGTTGCCCTGAGGGAGGGGCCTGCGCCTTGGCCCCTCCAGAACTGGGACAGCCCCAGCTTTGACCTTTCCCCTACTTCACTCACTGGGCCCCCACCCATCCCTTGGGGTGGCTGCTGCTGGCAACTGGAGGGGGCATAGATCTGATCATCGTGCTAGGACTTGCAGAGCTGAACGGGCTAGGGGCCAAGTTCTTCACTTTATTTTGGGGAGAAAGCAGTGGTACCCCTTCATATCGGGTGAATGAGAAATGCTGAGGGGAGGAATGATTTCAACCCAAATGTCCTGGCTCAGGCCCCAGGTCTCTGAAGGCCAGATCCGTCCTAAACTGCCCAAGGTCAGAGAGTTTAAAACAGAACAGGACCTTGGGATTGAGGGAAGGTATGAGCACCGCCCAGGCCCCGTAGGGTGCAGGGCCCTGAGGAGTCCAGGGCGGAGCATAGGCTGCAAGGAGGGCCCGGAGCTGGGGGCCGCCCCACACGCTCACACACCCCCTTCCCCGGCCCTCCGCCCGCCTGTGGGGAGTGGTGGGAGCCTGGGTGGGAAGGGGCGTGTGCCAACGAGCGCGCTCCCTTAAAGGAGAGGTCTTGGAGCAAGCACAGCCGCTCCAGTCCTTCGGAAGGGGTGTTTGCAAGAGGCTGGTGCGGACCATGGCTGCCCTCCTACTGCCCCTGCTGCTGCTGCTGCTGCCCCTGCTGCTGCTGCTCAAGCTGCACCCTTGGCCACAGTTGCGCTGGCTCGCGGCAGACTTGGCCTTTACGGTGCGCGCTCTCCGCTGCAAAAGGGCTCTTCACGCCCGCGCCCTGGCCGCGGCGGCCGCCGACCGGAAAAGTCCCGAGGGGGGCTGCAGCCTGGCCTGGCGCCTCGCGCAGCTGGCCCGAGAGCGCGGCGAGCACACCTTTCTCATTCACGGCGCTCGGCGCTTCAGCTACGTGCAGGCGGAGCGCGAGAGTAACCGGGCCGCGCGTGCCTTCCTGCGCGCGCGAGGCTGGGAAGGAGAACCTGGAGGCCGCGAGGCACAGAGTGCCGGGGAAGGCGCTCGGCCGGCGCAGGGTGCCCGAGACGCGGCGGCCGGAAGCAGCGTGGCGCCTACCGAGTGCAGTGTGGCCCGTCTGGCACCGGGGGCGACCGTGGCGCTGCTCCTCCCCGCCAGCCCGGAGTTCCTGTGGCTATGGTTTGGGCTGGCCAAGGCTGGCCTGCGCACGGCCTTTGTGCCCACCGCCCTGCGCCGAGGGCCCCTACTGCACTGCCTCCGTACCTGCGCCGCGCGAGCGCTCCTGCTGGCGCCAGGTAAGGCTGCTGCGGAGAGGGGCGTGGTGCTGGGCTTGGAAGGAGCCTGACGTCACACTGGGGTTTAGAAATGAGGGGTAGGAGGGTCTTGGACTGAGTCCTGGGTTCCAGCCCCACCTTGTCCTTCTTACCCCAGAGTGTAGAGGGGACCTGGACAGGCTGTGGCAGAGTTGGGGGAATTGATTGAGAGGATGTGGACATCGGGCAGAGCCAGAGCTGTTGTTCCTTGTCCCAAGCAGAGTTTCTGGAATCCTTGGAGCCCGACCTGCCAGCACTGAGGGCCATGGGCCTCCACCTGTGGGCAGCAGGTCCTGCCAGCCTGCCTGCCGGGGTCCCTAATTTTCTGGCAGAGGTGGCATCAGAAGCGGATGGACCGGTGCCCGGGTACCTGTCTGCCCCCGAGAGCATGACAGACACAAGCCTGTACATCTTTACCTCTGGCACCACGGGTGAGGAGGGCTGGAGGCCAGAGGGAGGACGTCAGGAAGCTGGGAGTGGGACATGGGCCTCCTGGGTGCCCAGGCCACCTCCCAGAAAGGATGCTGCTCCCACTTCCTCCTCATTTCCCCTCCTCCCCCGAGCCACCCCACCCGCCAGGCCTGCCTGCCTGCCTGCCTGCTGCCCCTGCCTTTCTGAGAGGAAAACCCATAGGCGGCAAGCAGGGAAGCAGAGCCTGGAGCTCAGCCCCACTCCCCCTTCTCCCAGGCCTTCCCAAAGCTGCCCGGATCAGTCACCTGAAGATCCTGCAGTGCCAGGCCTTCTACCAGCTGTGTGGTGCCCACCAGGAGGACATCATCTACTTGGCCCTCCCACTCTACCACATGTCAGGCTCACTGCTGGGCATTGTGGGCTGCCTGGGCATTGGTCAGTCTCCTGCCCCTCCATCCGTGGTGTGCTTGCTAGGCCCGCTCCCTGAGTTCCTTGGACCAAGGCTGCATGGAGGATCCCAGGAAGGGGGAAAAACCGTCCCGCCCCACAGTGCAGCAGGAACACACTGCCTGTTTAGACCCAGGACTGAGCCCCAGGCTGTGGCATCCAAGAGGCCTATAGGACTTGGGGTTGGGGTGGCAGGATGGAGTGCTGGTGATGGGAAGCAGGGTAAGGACGAGGGCTACTTGGGCTTCCCAGCAAGCTGCAGTGTCCTGAAGGCCGCTAGTGTCCTGGAGGGAGTAGCTGGGGATCCGCCCCCACACTGCGCCTGGCTCTCTTCCTTTCCTCCCCATTTCTGTTCCTGACAGGGGCCACCGTGGTGCTGAAGTCCAGGTTCTCAGCTGGTCAGTTCTGGGAGGACTGCCAGAGGCACAAGGTGACCGTGTTCCAGTACATCGGGGAGTTGTGCCGGTACCTCGTCAACCAGCCGCCGGTACGTGGGCGTGGTGTGTGGGCAGAGCCACTGAGCAGGCCAGGCCATGGGAATGGGGCAGAAAGAGCCACTGGAAGGGCAGCGGTTGTGGGGGGCGGGGCTCACTTTGGCAAGCTGGCAGCCTGGTGTCGAAGCTCCTGTCCCCTCTGTCTCAGACCCCGGCAGAGCGTGACCACCAGGTCCGGCTGGCGGTGGGCAGCGGGCTGCGCCCGGACACCTGGGAGCGCTTCGTGCGCCGCTTTGGGCCCCTGCAGGTGCTGGAGACCTATGGACTGACTGAGGGCAACGTGGCCACATTCAACTACACAGGCCAGCGAGGTGCTATTGGGCGCGCCTCCTGGCTGTACAAGGTGAAGGGCGGAGGGGGCACCTGGGAACCCATGACAATGGGAGGCAGGGCTGGACTGGGCATCAGAAATCATGCCGTGCTGGGTCTCCTGTCCCCAGTACATCTTCCCCTTCTCTTTGATTCGCTGTGATGTGGCCACAGGAGAGCCGACCCGGGATGCCCAGGGCCACTGTGTGGCCACATCTCCAGGTTAGCACTCAGGCTGGGGAGGACACGGGCGGTGGGAGGTTGATGAAACTAGCCCCCGAGGGCTGCAACTGGGCGGTGGCCAAGGAGGGCAGGAGGTCCTGACCCGGCGACTCGGCCAGGTGAGCCCGGGCTGCTGGTGGCCCCAGTGAGCCCGCAGTCCCCGTTCCTGGGCTATGCCGGGGGCCCCGAGCTGGCGCAGGGGAAGCTGCTGCATGACGTCTTTCGGCCTGGAGATGTTTTCTTTAATACGGGGGACCTGCTGGTGTGCGACAACCAAGGCTTCCTTCGTTTCCACGATCGCACGGGCGATACCTTCAGGTACGCACCCACACTGGGCTGACTCTGGACTCTGTGTCCCTGAACCTCAGCTCCCTAGTCTCAGCCTCTGCCATGCATTCACAGAGCACCCCAACATTCAGCCCCTTGACCTGCTTCGCTCTCACCCCGGGCCCTGACCCCTAACCCCAGTCACGGACCTCTACTCTCCCGTAGGTGGAAGGGGGAGAATGTGGCTACGACGGAGGTGGCAGAAGTCCTTGAGGCCCTGGACTCACTCCAGGAGGTGAACGTCTACGGAGTCACTGTGCCAGGTGCCTGGTCATGGCAGGCGGGGAGGTGCCCAGCCTGCCACATTGAGCCGTGCTACCTGAAGGTGGCCATGGAGGGAGGGGCTGACGGCACCGCTTCCCGGCAGGGCACGAGGGCCGCGCCGGGATGGCAGCCCTGGTTCTGCGTCCCCCCCACGCCCTGGACTTGGTGCAGCTCTACACCCATGTGTCTGAGCACTTGCCCCCTTATGCCCGGCCTCGATTCCTACGGCTGCAGGTGAGCACACCTTGTGCCCACCCCTCACCCCTGCTGCCCAGCCCCCACTGCTCACTGTATCCCTCTTCCCTACGCCTGCTTCCTTTTCCTCCCCAAAACCTTGGATCATTGCCCCATCCCACACCTCCTGGGTGACACACCTTGTTCTTCAGCTCCCTCTCACCTACCCTCCGCATCCCCTCGCAGGAGTCCCTGGCCACCACGGAGACCTTCAAGCAGCAGAAGGTCCGCATGACCAGGGAGGGCTTCAACCCGAGCACCTTGGCCGACCCACTCTACATCCTGGACCAGGCGGCAGGTGCCTACCTGCCCCTCACGCCGGCCCGGTACGAGGCTCTGTTGGTTGGAGAGCTCCGGATCTGAGCCCTTGGGCTCCCAACACCTATACCCCACCCTTCCAACCCCAGGCAGCGGGAGGGGAGGCAGTGCAGTGGGGGGAGCCCTGGCCGGCGCCCCAGGGTCGTCAGGGATCTTTTATATTCCAGATTTATAGTCATTATTTTGTAATAAACTGGGCCAGAGCCTGTGTGGCTTTCTTCCCGCAGTATGCCTCCCCGTGGTGTGGCTGTGGAATGGCATTTCCCATCTGCAGACATTTGCTCCAGGGGCAGCACTGAGGCCCCTGCGCTGGAGCCCCCTGAGGCTGGCATCTGACCCTTTGAACACTCCTAGTGACTACTCTTCGTGCTGTTTCCTGGAGCTGAGCTAAAGCCAGTCCCAGGACAGGATTCATAGTGCCTTGAGGTGCTAAGCCCAGTGCAGCCTCGCAGCCATAAAGACCAGCTGGGGTGGGGGGCGTGGCTCGCCGTCTCCATGGACCTGCCCCATCCTGTTCTCCCCACCTGCCCCGGGGTGTGCAGTGGGGCTGGGTGCCCAGGCTCCTCCCACAGCAGCTGCTCTCCCTCGGCTCCCGGGCTCCTCATGGAGTCACACACCAGGCCTCTTTCTCCCCACTTCCCATTTCACTGGATTTCACTGGATTTCAACTCTGCACCATCTGACGAGGTAGCGACCAGCCGCATGTGACTGCTGAGTTGGGAAGAGGAGCTAAAAAGCAAGATGTGCTGCAACATAACACACACCAAGACGTATAAACACATCACTGGTAGTGGTCTCGCCTTGTTTGCACAGTGAAATACTGTCTTAATTACTCCCCAAATGGCTGCAACAGCTGGAGTGGAGCTGATCCAAAGCCAGGAGCCTGGAGTTTCTTCCAGGTCTCCTACACAGGTGCAGAGTCCCAAGGTCTTGGGCCATTTTCCGCCTGCTTTCCCAGGCCACAAGCAGAGAGCTGGAAGGGAAGTGGATACAAACTGGTGCTCATATGGGATCCCAGCGCTTGAAACGGGGAGGATTAGCCCGTTGAGCCACCAAGCTGGTACTTCAAAGAAACCTAATTTTAAATTTAAAAAAGACAAAAATTGGAAGAATGAAGATTAACCTCCCAAAATGAGTGGAAATAAACTCAAATGGAACTTAGCCTCAGGTGGAGGCGAGTTCCCCTTTCCTGGGATTATTTCCGGTTGGCTCAAGGATCCAAACCAGCCTCAGGGATCCGCAGTGCCTTTTTTTCTTTTAAGATTTATTTTTATTGGAAAGTCAGACATACAAGGAGGAGAGACAGAGACAGGAGAGAGAATCATCTGTCCAATGATTCACTCCTCAGGTGGCGGCAACAGCCCGAGCTGCACCAATCCAAAGCCGGGAGCCTGGAGCTTCTTTCAGGTCTCCCACGCGGGTGCAGGGTCCATCCTCGACCATCCTCGACTCCTTTCCCAGGCCACAAGCAGGGAGCTGGATGGGAAGTGGGGCCACCAGGATTAGAACCAGCGCCCATATGGATCCTGGCACATGTAAGGCCAGGACTTCAGCCTCTAGGCTACCCCGCTGGGTCGTGTTGGTGCCTGTTCTTGCACAACCAGCAGCCCAAGGATACGTTTTGTATTTTTATTTTTATTATTATTATTTTTTTTTTATTGGAAAGGCAGATATACAGAGAGGAGAGACAGAGAGGAAGATCTTCCGCCCGATGATTCACTCCCCAAATGAGCGCAACGGGCCGATACTATGCCGATCCGAAGCCAGGAGCCTCTTTCGGGTCTCCCACGCGGGTGCAGGTTCCCAAAGCTTTGGGCCGTCCTTGACTGCTTTCCCGGGCCACAGGCAGGGAGCTGGAAGGGAAGCGGGGCTGCCGGGATTAGAACCGGCGCCGACCTTTAACCACTTGCGCCACCGCGCCGGGCCCACGTTTTGTATTTTTAGATGGTTTAAAAAAAAAATCCAAAGAACGCTATTTCATGACACTTAACACAGGGGATTCGGATTTCAGGGTCCTGGGGAAGCTGAGGAGCACCACCAGGCTCCTTCCTTTATCAGTGCTGGAGCCACAGAGCGGGCACTCAGCCTGGGAGAGACGTCCACTCCGCCCGCCGCTCGGCCGTCCAGGGAAGGAGCCCGGCGCACATGCGCTCTCGGCCAGCACAGCAGGGCTACGGGGCCAGCTGCTCCGAGCCTGTGCACTCAGGTCGGCCGCCACGGTGCAGAGCAAAAGGCTTCGTGGGTGCCGTGGGCTGTGTCTGCTGCTTCCCCCATCGCGTTCCACGGGGTGGGCCACGCCACATCTGCTCATCTTCATTTGCTGATGGACATGTTGGCTGAGTAAGACGCTGCGGTCAACATTTGTAATATGTTTCCACGGTGGACAAATATTTTCAGTGTTTTAAAGGAATTATGTATTTATTGGAACGGCAGAGTTACAGAGAAAAGGAGAGTCACAAAGAGAGATCTTGCATTCATTGTTCTACCCCGTATGCAGCCACAGCAGCTGAGGCCGGGCTGCGGGACAAAGCCACAAGCCTGGACCTCTGTCCAGGTCTGCCCTGTGGGTGGCAGGGTCCCAGGTCCTTTGACCATACATTGCATTAGCAGGAAACTGGAGCCAGAGGAGAACAGCCGAAACTCAAACGAGCTGACACGGGATGCCAGCATGGCAGAAACCAACGCCATAGCTACGCTGCAATGCTGGGCCCTTCAACTTTTTTAAAAAAGGTTTTTTATTTACGGACCCGGCACGGTGGTCTAACGGCTAAATCCTTGCCTTGCACAGCCAGAATTTCGTATGCTGGTTCGTGTCCCAGCTGCTCACTTCTCCTCTAGCTCCCTGTTTGTGGTCTGGAAAAGCAGGAGAGGACGGCCCAAAGCCTTTCCAATAAAAATAATAAATCTTGGGCCCAGCACGGTAGCCTAGTGGCTAAAGTCCTCGCCTTGCATATGCCAGGATCCCATATGGGTGCCAGTTCCTATCCTGGCTGCTCCACTTCCCATTTAGCTCCCTCCTTGTGACCTGGGACAACAGTCAAGGATGGCACAAAGCCTTGGGACTCTGCACCCTCATGGGAGACCTAGAAGAAGCTCCTGGCTCCTGGCCTTATATCGAAGCTGAGCTTTGGTCATTGTGGCCATTTGGAGAGTGAATCAGCAGATGGAAGATATTCCTCTCTGTCTCTCCTCCTCTCTGTTTATCTGCCTTTCCAATAAAAATAAATAAATCTTAAATAAATAAATAATCTGAAAAAAAAGGAAGAAACCTCCCACCTGTTTGTTTACTCCTCCAGTGGCTGTAACAACTAGAACCAAGCCAGGCTGAAGCCAGGAGCTTCTTCCAGGTCTCCCCATGTCCCCCGTTTGCATCTGTGTGTGCTTTTCCATTGCTTGGGCATCAGGAACTGGGAGGTCCAGACCTGCTATGTGTGCCCCGAAGTTGGACTGCATATCATGTGATTTTCCCTATGATCAGGGTCTACATCCTGTGATCTGTTTGGAAAGTCCCCCAAGAAACCTAGCCTGGGATGACCTCAGACTTGATTCCTGTGTGTGCCAGCCAATGCAGGCTCACGGTTGGTTTGTCACCTGCACTGGCCCGATGCACGTACTGGTGCATGCAGCTGCCTAGTCAGATCCACCGCCAACCACACGAACTGCTGGGCACTGCAGCCCAGCCCAGCCCATCACAGGCCCAGTCTCTGTGCACACCAACAGATGCCACAGCCTAGTCTGGGCAACCCCCAAGAGCTCCCACCAGCTCTGCTCCCAACCCTCGTGTTTTTGTTTTGTTTTGAAGGTTTTATTTTTATTGAAAAGGCAGCTATAAAAAGAGGAGATACAGAGAGAAAGATCGTGTGTCTACTGGTTCACTCCCCAAATGGTCGCAACAGCTGAAGCTGAGCTCATCAGGAGCCAAAAGCTTCTTCTGGGTCTCCAGTGTGGGTTCAGGGTCCCAAGGCTTTGGGCCATCTTAGACTGTTTTCCCAGGACATGAACTGGTGCCCATATGGGGTCCCGGCACATCCAAGGCGAGGACTTTAGCCACTATGGTAGTGTGCTGGGCCCAACCCTGGTGTTTGTGTTTACTACCATGTTTACAGCCTAGCCAGTTCCATGTCACGTCCCACCCGGTTACTGGACACACCCATAGTTGTTGTAATTAGCTCAGGCCACCCTGCCTGGTTCACACATACACCGAAGGGTGCTGCTGTCATGTCCAGCCTGGACTGCGGCTGATCCTGGCTCATGCTCGCCAGCAACAGCTGCAGCCCAGCAGGAGAGTTCTCCAAGTTCCTCCATCAGGCCTGCTCCTAGCTCTGTGTGCCGATGGATGCTCAGCCCGGCCTGACACGGCCTGTTCCAGTCGCATCACTCGCTGGCAGATACTCCAGCCCTGTCAGACTGGCCTGTGTCCATTCCAGCTCTTGCTGGCCATGCTTACAGCCCACTCCCACCTGGCCCACTGCTAGATCTGGCTGTCACGAGGACTGATGGGTGCTACAGCCTAGCGCAGCTCATCTGTACCTGCTCTGGCTCTTGGGAGCACCAGCGGGCGCTGGGACCTTGCCCAGTCTTGCCCACACAAGTGCCAAGCGATGCTGCGTCTCTTTTTAGTGCGGCCCTTGTCCTGGCTCTTGCGCTCTCCAGTGAGTGCTGCAGTCCAGCAGGAGGAGCCCCCCAGGCCAGCTCCCAGCCTCAGAGCTTGGATTTTGGACACAGTCCGCCCCCAGTCCCAGCCTTTGTATGTGCTGCTGGCTGGTTCTCTGGTGTGCTAGTGGGTACTGCAGCCTGGGCCAGCCCAGCCTTCTCTGAACCCCAGCTTCCATGAGTATCAGTGAGTTCCGTGGTGGTGCCTGGCTTGGCCCCTCCCCACACCCAGCTCTCACACAAACTGCTGGGTACTGCAGTCTCACAGGGTGAGCCCACAGATCCCCTACGGACTCTGCTCCCAAACCCGGTTCTCTTGTGAGCTGCTTGGTGCCATGGCCTACACCTTGCCTTGACACTCACTGGTGGGCACTGTGGGCCTGCTAGGCAGACTCCCAAGCACACTAGCTGTCCCATGTGCCAGTGGGCAGCAGTCAATAATAATATTTAGCCCAGCCCAGGTCCCACAAGGACAGATGCCCTGGTCTGAC